CGGAGTAAGAAACCCAATCTTGATAAATTTCCATCTACAGTAGATCCCCTGAACAAACAAACCACAACGTCATCTACCGATAAATTGTGCCTTTCCCCCAACAGGATTCCCGACAGATCGATGAAATAAGAAATACTTGCGGTAACTATGCAGAAGGCCTTTGCTGTGTACATATGCGGATTGTGTGACCAGATATAAAGGAGTGCAGAATGATTTGATGCCTTGTATAAAACATTGACGGCCGTTTACCTAGTTGCCCTGCTCAATTCTTGTATCTGAAGAATATTTACCTCGGCAGAAGGAATGTTAGGGAGGGTAGATCTAGGGTCTACTTCCATTTTGAGTAGGATCTCCGTGCGTGCCTTAGAAACAGCAGACACACCTTGAGGAGGTGTATTTCGTGTATTTTGCACGTCGGAGAATGAAACTAAGAGAACGGCTGGTCCGGCAGCCTTACATAGATCTAAGACAAGGTCTGCTTACTCTATTTACACTTTTGATTGTCCGATGGAATGATGGATCTGTGCTACTTAAGGTGCTCATTTCTTAGCTGTATTTCTCTCCCTGTATTTACCGGTTTCTACTCTCTTCCGACTCCCGAGGACGTGCCGGGGAACAAAATACAGAGCATCAAAAACAAGAATTGAGCACAGCTAGTGGTAATTTCGACCGATTATTTATGACGAAAATCTTGAAGTTTAGGCGATTTCCTATATGCCAATGCTCATTCAAGAACGCGGAGCAGTTGTATCGCATTTCCCGAAGGTAGGGCCGCCTTCCGCTGGCGCTGCCATCAACTTGAAACAACGGAAGCAAGCACACCTGAGTAACGATCCCACACACCGTTACAAAAATAGAAACTCACCGAAATAGTCTGTATAGTCGTATAAAGAGCAGCGACGGATCCAAAGATCATGAGCGCAACGTCGGCTATCTTCTGACGACGTGAACGTGCGCATGCTTTGTAGTGTAGCATTGCTGGGTACACGTAACATAACGGAACACTACACGTGGTATCCATTCAGTATTCAGCAACAAGGATCCCACGACAACAGAGTCGATGACAGAGAAGTGCCATTTCAACTCACCAAGCAAAGCTCCCGACAAGCGCGACGAACTTATCCAAATCCCTTGCACCAGCCCAACTAATCAGCGCACAACCCATCACAATCACAAACCGTAAAGTATTCTTCTGCCACTTGACCTTCGGGTTCCCTTTCCCACTTCGAGAGAACAAGCCGTTCTCCATGATGCGCACTGCAGGGAACAGCTGTAGCGGTACAGACAACAGGATGGCAAGTGAGTATAGAAACTGCACGGATTGCACGAGTTTGCTTTCTGAGTTCAGGTTCGTGATTACCACGGTTTGTACTTCGTTGCCGAATGCTAAGTAAGCGAGCACGCCCGCTCCACCAAAGAGGACTAAGAGGGGATCTCATTAGCCATGAAGATATGTTAAGAATGATGTTCATAGAACATACCAATCAGGAACAGCATGACACCCGTGAGGACTGCTGTGAACTTGTGTGGTTCACGCATGGAATCAGATATGGGGATAACCTGATATGGTGAGTGAAGAATGAGATGAATGAACGAAGTAAGGAAGTACTCTAGAAGAACGACAGAAACTCACCAATCCCACACCTTCGAACGAGAAGACAGCTGTTCTACTCTCCATCAGTCATGAGCTCTTCACAAAGAATGATTAATCAAACTCACCCAATAAGCAGCGGGAAGCTCTTCGGGTTGAACAACTCCACTTTTGCAATTCCCCTACTGCTAATAACCGCAATCTCACTACCGAAAATATACACCAAACCCAACAAAATAAAGACGTCTGCAACGAGCGCAGTCGAGCTCAACTTCGCGATATTGCGGACAAGAGCAAGCGGGAGGAAGATCACGAGTTGCATCAGGATGAAGTATTGAACAGAGATGAGTCGTGCACATTTCGTGATTGCTAGAACGAAAGCCTGCAGGTTCTCTGAGACGAAGATCGTGTATGCACACACGAAACCGATCTGCGACAGCATAATCGCTGTTAGAATCGCGTAGCGCATCCACGGACCATACAATGCACCGCCGATATCTAATAAACGGATCTATTAATAACTTATCTTAATGAACGTGGTGTGTTATTAATGCGTACCCCCGTAGCTTCCAGGAACGATATCTTTAGTCTTGACAAGAAGTAAGAATGAATATAGCGATATTATTGCAATCGCAGTCATGGTGATGGCAGAAAACAAGATTCCTCCGTTGAAGAAACTAAGATGAAATTTCAGTAAAGTTCGCTATGCGAAAGCCGTTCGACATACGCTTTCCCAAGAAATAATACGCCGGTTCCGACGAAGGACTTCATAAGCTATCGAAGCACATGAGCGAGGCAAACATTCAGGCGAAGCAAAGTAAGGTACCATTAGCACTGCTTGTGTGACGGTTGCGTCGCCACGAGTTTCAAGCCCGATGCTCTTCCTGCGAGCAGAGCGCCTTGCTCTGGAGAGGGAGCGTTGGCTAACTACACGTTGACCCAAAAGGGGTGCGGTCTCAGTAGTCTTGTACAGAGCTGTAAATATAAATACATAAATAAATGAGCAAGCTGCCTCAGTGCACGAGTTGTTCACAAAATCGACAAACCTGAAGGGCCTGCAATTGCTTCTTGCTCTACTCCTAGTAGAACTCCTTCCTCGTCTTCCTCATCTTCTTCAAGATCTTCACCAGCCTATCAGATAATTCAATGTTTATCTCACGCATACTCTCCTTAGATAACTCACGAAATGACCAAAGAGATACAAGAACTCAATGAAATTATTAGAAACCGCAGGCTCTTCTACGCCCCGTTCGTTAGCACGAGTGAGAACGTAATGTCGCCGGAAGCCGCCTGGCGCATGAATATGTTCGAACGCTGGATGAGGTGAATGTATTGGCTCCGGAGCCGGAGCAGTGAATGATGCCGCACGAGGACGACGTGCCTGGCGCTTCTGGTCTGCTTGCCACTTGTAAATCGGATGTCTACAATTCGCACCAGATACATAAGAACGAATCAAGACAGAATATTAAAAAAAATGTAACGCACGTTATATCACCTCCAGGAGCATCATACGGAATCGGGAATGCCTCTAAAGAGTCTTCTCTCTGGATCTCGTTCGATCCAGAGTCTGAAGGGCGCCGACTATGTGCCGAACCCTCGTCGGTGTTCACATCTGCCCCACGGCGGAGGACAAGATGCCGTCTTAATACACGCGCCATCTCCTCGTCTGTCACATCTTCGAGGTTCATTCTGGGGCTTTCACTTGTGCCCATACCCGTTGGCGTACTCGATCCACCCGTCATTGGGGTCCGTGCACGCCAGGAACGTGCCGTGAAGCTTGCAGGAAGACCAGCACCAGCAGGAGCAGGAGAAGCGTCACCTGCTGAACGAGGTGGGATGTTTGCTATTGGCGGAGTAGAAGGAGTGCCTTGTCGAGGAGGGGGACCAAGACGGGCTGTTGGGGTGCCGAAGCGAAAAGCAGGACTTCCCGCCTGGCCATGGTCGTGGGTCGATGACGGGGCGAGATCGTCTTGATTGCGATTAGGACTGGAGATGTCTAGTGGACGGGATGGATTGGTCGACATTGTTCGGGTCTCACTTGCCCATGGAATGGATGCTGTTGCTGCTCTACAGGTAGTCTGACGGATTCTGTCTGAGCAGTATGAATGGAAGGAAGAGTAGGAGCAAAGACAGAGAGGCACACTAAGAATGCGGGGATGCAAGGTCCGGGGCGCCACTAACGCTTCAGCACCGACAGATTCGGAAATTTCTCAGTAACTGATCGGCACGTCTATCCATTCACGGCTCGTCGATTTACTATTTCTACCTTACCATAAATTCAATCTCTGAGTCTGATATAACAAGCAAATCTCTTCTACTTTATTATTCTCCTGTGGGCTCCTTGTGCACCCATCCAAGCATCCTCCGCGCCTTCTCACAACAAATAAAACTCTCATTGCTACTCAGCGTCTTCCCTTCCTTCACAGGCACGTCAGGATAGAACTGTTGACGCAGGTCCTCGCTATCCCACTCTTCAGCACTATCCGGTGCAGCAATGTAGAACGCCTCGTGTCCCTTAAAGCGATCCTCACCAACTGTTAACGCAAGGAGAAATGCGCTAGCAGCAGAGTCATGGTGCAGCCATCCCCACAAGTCTTTACGTCGTCTCTCTGGAGTGTCACGCGTTGCGTACGCTCGGTCTGGGACTGCCCAGTGCATGCGTAGACTTGCAATACGCATTTCGGGATAACGTCGAACGATGCTTTCTGCTTGGATTTCTGCTATTCTACCGTAGTCAATTAGTCAATTAGAACTGCCATCTGAACACTAATTAGCTTGACACGCTTACAATTTTGAAAGGCCATACGGCTCGTCGGGATCGCACGGGATGTCTTCGTCGATCGGGAAGTACTTGGGGTTTGGCCCGTTTTTACTGTAAACGAGTTGAACGACGTTGCATGTTGAAGCTTGGGCGATACGTTTGATCCCGAGCTAGTAGACAAATAAACATTTGACTACATTCCTTCAGTGAGGAGAGCACTGGTTCACCTCAGCCGATGCTCGAAGCATGTTCCATGATATGACTACATTACTAAGACCATCACTCGTGTAAGTATTTGCGCCTTGTACAATGATAAAAAGAGAACACACCTATTATGCGTCTGCACCTTTCCATCACCCGGGTTCGGAAAAGCAGCCAAATGCGCAACAGCATCGCATCCCCTAAGCACTTTAACAACTTCATCATACTCGCGCAAATCAGTCTTGACAAACGAAAACGCTTCGTGTTCCGTAGCCCTCCGAACTGCGACGTCATCAAGGGGAGGGTCTGAGAAGTCAACACCAACTACGGAATGGCCCTCGTTGAGACAGTGAATGACGACGCGCCGACCGACGCGTCCGTTGCAGCCGGTGACAGCTATCTTCATGTTGGCAATGGCTAATGCTTAGAGGCTTGGATGGATGAAGGCAAGATAAAATTTACAGCATCTTATCAGACAGTTGCATAAGTAGATGCGCGCGCCGTGCAGCTCCATGGCGGCACACTTCATCCGGTCATCTGCCATCCAGTCCTGCCTGAGAGTGCCACGGCATAAGGGACACAAATCACGTGCTCTATTTACGCAGTGATCATCACCCGCCTTCGGAGTGGGCGCGCTGCGTACATGACCCTCGCCGTTCTCTCCTAACGACGACCACCTCACAATGTCCCCAGTGTGCTTCGCCAGCTCTAGAGGCGGAATTTATACTTCATTCCTCATTTCAACTCTATTATCTTCGGTGCTGGCCGGTTCCAGTAACTTCCGACAAAACGTTACGGCTTGGACTAGGGAGGACCAATCCTATAGGTTGTCGGTGAGTTGTGATTCATCATTAGCTGAATGTCGCGTGCAACGACTAATGCATGGTTCGTTCGTCAAATAAATAGTCATTAGCAAGTGCACCATCTTTAGGTCCGCCCGTCTTCCTTACTTCCGTTGATTGATCCCTAACTTACGGAACCGATCCTTTTCTTCCATGTCGACCAGTCGATGACCGCGACAAAGACTGTCCACCCTGTTTCAACTGTCTCCTCCCAGCATTTACGTGCGGACAATACGGAAAATGTGATACTTATGACGGACAATGTCATTGTCCTGCAGGGTGGGGTGGCATCGACTGTCTCACGCCGCGTAAGTAGCTCATTTCAACAATCATTCGTAATAATGGCTAAGTTAATGGCGTGTGTTGGTAGAATGCGACTCACTTGCTGATGGAGAACATCGAAGAATGTGGAAGGATGATGAGGAATGTCCATGTAAGGATGGATGGGGCGGTATAAACTGTAACGGTACGCGTCATTTGTATAATTCCTGACATTTCAATGTACCGTACTAAATATCTACGATTAGTCTGTGAGACCGACGCTGCATGCGCAAACTTCCCTCTTCCTGGCGCCAACTCTTCGGTTCCAGGAGGTGAAGGACCTTTGAATATGACATGTTACAAAGGTGGAGATACTGTCTTTACTAGCTATCAGATGTGTGATGTTACCAGTGCGTATTCTTCAACCATGTATCCTGATGGTGCTTGGAAGTCTTAATTTCCTTAAACACTAGATCCGGGAATTATTGCACTGCTTCCTGATCGACCGCCGCAGATCACATTTACCTGCGACAATGCTGAAGACACTTGTCTATTCCAGTTCTGGGTGGACCGGAAGGAATCGTTCTATTGTGGTCTCGATACGTGCAAACAACGAAAGCAGCAAACTTATGATGCAAATGCAACAATAGTAGAGTGTGAGAATATCAGGTGTAGCTGTATTCCTGGTCGGTTCATTTGTGGTGAGAATGGCAGTGTCGGTAAGTGATTATTCTTATGCTCTAGAGGATCTATGTACTTATTTAAGTTTGAACTCGTTTAGACATCACAGATTTCCTCGATACAAAGATCAAAGGCCCGGCAAAGTACTCTTGCAAGACAGATTCAGGCTGCAAGTTTGAGGAACCAGGAATGAACGAACTTATTGACACCATTTTTGGTGATGTTTATATTACACTCGAGTGCGAAAGTGGCGAGTGTCTACACTTTTCACAAGTTCCTGGATACGTTGTGAGCATCTTGCCTATGGATATTAGTATTACCTTTCACTAATATTTCTGATAGGGCATTCCTAAACCTGATAACACGCGTTGGGTAGCACTTAGCGCTTCAGGTGCTATCCTGATCGTGTTTTCGGCATTCCTTCGTACGTACCACGTCTCATTAGTTTCGCAATCATTCTGATATCCGTCTAGTCTTATGGTACGTTGGTCACGATCGCAAGCACCTTGGGGAAATCCGTCTCCCAGAGCACGAGGCATTCAGGCTCATGCACGACCATGTCCCCGCTACTCTTCACTTCTCCGACATCTCTTACAGTCTGGGCTCACGTACAATCCTCTCTGGTATCACCGGCTGTGTGAAACCGGGACAAGTAATGGCAATAATGGGTGCCTCTGGTGCCGGCAAGACGACATTCTTAGACATCCTCGCGCGGAGATCTAAGAAAGGTGACGTTGGCGGCTCGATTCTGGTGAACGGCCGTGAAGTTACAGATAGCGAGTTTAAGCGCTTTGTCGGCTTCGTAGACCAAGAAGACACTCTCATGAGTACACTAACCGTGTACGAGACTGTTCTGTATTCAGCATTGCTACGACTTCCCCGCGACATGAGCTTGCAGGCGAAAAAGTACCGTACGCTGGAAACTATGAACGAACTCGGTATCCTCGGGATTCGCGATATGCGTATAGGCGATTCTAGCCACCGTTCGATATCTGGAGGAGAGAAACGCCGTGTTTCTATCGCTTGTGAACTTGTGACCAGTCCTTCTATTTTGTTCCTAGATGAACCTACGAGTGGTATGTCCGGGGCTTACGAAAAGCTAAAAGCAAATGAAGATTGATTAATTGTCATTGCAGGTTTGGATGCATACAACGCTTTTAATGTTATAGACAGCTTGGTCTCCCTAGCGCGTAATTACAACAGAACGGTTGTCTTCACGATCCATCAACCGCGGAGCAACATCGTCGCATTGTTTGATCAGCTTCTTTTGCTTGCTCAGGGAAGGATGGTTTATTCCGGAGATGTATCAAGGTGCCATGAGTTCCTTGCCGATACTGGTCGTTCATGTCCACCAGGCTTCAATTTAGCCGATTATTTAAGTGCGTGTGGTTTCCAACACGACTATGTCGTAAAATGGGAAAAAATTCTGATATTCGTCCCGCACAGTTGATTTAACTAGCGACGTTAACGTAGAATCACGCTCGCGAGACGAGGCTTCTATTGAGCCGGCCGAAGCGGTTCCGGAACGTCCCTCGAATCTCTCTGATGAAGAGCGCGGTTTCGCCCGATCTGGAAATGGATTGTCCGTGCATTCGCCTTTCTCCAGTGGGGACGACACGGAATCTACGAGGGCAGATGAGGCAGAAGAGACGGAACTGCAGTCTCGCCGCGGATCCGTCACATCCGAGTCTTCGCACTTTGTTAAACGCAAGACTTCACAGCTCCTTGATGCTATCAGGGGTAGGAATGGCAGGGAGGAGAATCCTCTGTCCCCACAAGTTCAATCTCTCGTCGACGCGTATGCCAGAAGTGATATTGCCTCCGGCATCCGAGCCGAGATTGAGTCCATCGCAAACCGCAATCCTAATGAAGAGCTTCCCAATGTTGCTGAGGAAGATCGTTTATTACGGGGTCGACGAGGAGCTAGTTGGCTTACACAGTTCCGCATCTTGAGCGGCCGAGCATTCAAGAATTTATATCGTGATCCAGCTCTCTTAATGGCACACTATTTGTCTTCTATCGTCCTAGCCCGTAAGCTATTTTTTGCTCCTTTAAGTTTGCTTGATGGACTGAGTGCAACTCAATGGACAGTCATTTGTGGCTTCTTCTTCCGCTCTGTCAGGTGAGCATTTCAGGCTTTACTTGGTGTTCGAGACTCTCAAAGAACACGGCTGACTCCCTGTTTCCGTCCCACAGGAATGACATCGGTGGCTTCCAGAACAGATTAGGTGCGGCTCGCGATGTGAAGCTATGCTTCGTTGCGCTCATCGCCGTTTGCATCTTCTACCCCCTTAGGCATATTCTTCTTTTCCTTGTCCCTCTTTGGATTCTCGTGCCTATCTGTTATCGGTCTGTTCGCTAGCGAGCGGCTGCTTTACATGCGTGAAAGGTGCGATCGTCGTTATTATACCGAGTATGTCCGTCCTGAACCCACAAATTTCAAAACGTATTTCACAGAGCAAACGGATACTATTCGTCATTTACGTATTTCGCGTCGAAGGCAAGTCCCGAATTCCGAATTTCATGGATGGAGGAGATCGTAGAGCCTGATTTTCATTATCCCTGTGGACATAGGTTCTTTTTGATATTTTGCCTCTACGGGTGGTGCCGCCACTTGTATTTGGTGCAATCTTGTACCGCGTCGTCGGTCTCGTGCCAGAGGTTTCAACGTTCTGGAAGTTCTTGCTCGTCCTCGTCTTATTCAATCTTGCAACTGCAAGCGCGGTTCTGCTCATCTCTGTTGCGTTCGCGAACACGAGCGTGGCAAGCCTCGTGGGCACTCTTGTGATGCTATTCAAGTGAGAGCATATACTATCTATGTCATCTGGTCTTCTTACACGTTTTCGCTGACATCAACTAACCTTTCAAATTCAAAACCTCACGCGCCTACCTTACCCCCGGGTGTTGTCGTTGATGTCATTTTGATTTCCCAGCCTGCTATTCGCCGGTCTGCTCATTAACCGCGAGTCACTTGGAAAAGCGTCGTGGCTGACTACGATCTCATTCTTCCACGCCGGATTCGAGGCACTGGCGGTAAACGAGCTCCGGTACCTCCAGTTGAAAGAGAACCGGGTAAGCATTTAAAAGCGATGAAAGTTGCTTCTCAAACCGAAACCCTATCTTTGCTACTTCCATGCCTACCTTCTTTCTTTCATTCCCCTTCTCTACATTTCTTTAACCCCCCTGACACTCTTACATCCCGCGTTTCTCCTTGTCCTCCCTTCTCTTCCTCCCTTGTATCCCGTTTCACCTTATTTGGTCTTTGGTCTTGCGTTGTTTACACTCATTTGGGTAATTACTTACTTTTTTGGGTGCTTTCTTTTGTGTATAGTATGGCGTGGAAATTGACCTTCCGGCCGCGACGATTCTGAACATCTTTGGACTTCGTGCACAGGTGCGTTTGTATGATTCAATGTCTTCCCTACCTTCCATTCAAACTTCCTTCATGCCTTACGTCCCTTGACCCCTATCCTGCCTCCCTCTTTCCTCTTCTCCCTTTTCCTTTTCCCCTGCCTCCCTCCCTTTCTCCTTGTGTCTGTCTTTTGAGTTTACTTCCGCCTTATTGAGTTGAGTTGAAAACTGAATTAACTTTTTTACACGCGTTTCCCTCATGCTACGCTGCGTCTCTCTCTCTCTCCATCTTCACATTCTACAATCCGCAGTCGTTCTGGTGGCCGAACGTTGGCCTGTTGGGGATTTTCTTTGGAAGCTTCACGGTACTGACGTGGGTAATATTACACTATTATGTACGTGAGCAGCGGTAGAATCCGGATTCGGGTTTGATTTTATTCTTCCCGTGTTCATGGTTCTCTATGGTGTAATGGTGTAATGGTGTGGTGTGGTGGTATTGTGTGCTGAGCCGTAGTCTGTCTACCAGTCTTTCTGTCTTTGAATGAATGATCTACATAGATTAATATTATGAGGAATACACCTCCTTTCATCTTATAGCACATGCTACTCAGATCCTTCTGTCCCTAATTTCAAGGACTCTTCGTCTGTTAATGCTCTAAATCGTATGTTATGCTATAAAATCTTGCTTTGTGATGACCACCACTCAAGAGGTTGAAGTAAACTTACTCGTCTAAACTGACGTTAATTGTTATTAATACTTATATTTCTGAGGACAAATTTAAAATAAAAAAATAATAAATAGTATTCAGGCAGCTGAACCAGGCAATTATCAAAGTACCGTCTATTAAATATCAGACTGTATATCCTACAACAACAATAAAAAAAGCTATTACTATCAAGAGGGCCTAGCTGGGAGGTTGGTTGCGAAGACTGCACAGAAGAAAAGTGAATATACATGTGAGAGGAGAGAAGAGAGAGGTTTAACGTCGCTACTGTAGCACTATACAGTATAATATAATAAGGGAAAAAGACAATAGTCGAGCGAGAAAGAAGGAAAGAATAAAGGAAAGAAACAGGAGAGGAAAGCCAACGATTGGAACGAGCTGGGATGGACAAATGATGATGACGATGACGAGAACGATGATCAACCGGAATCGGATAGTTTTAAAGAGACTGAAGTACAGTATATGAAAAGCATGTTGATGGGTGGGTGTTAATGAACGATGGACAATGAACGACGAATGAATGATGCACAATGAATGCCAATAATAATGAATGAACGCCTTGAACTCTGACACAATCGAGGGAAAAAAACACAGTTACAATGGGATATTGACGTGAACGAGCTACTGAAACGATTGGTAGGCTACGTAGGGTGGAACAGGTGGGCAAATGGATGATGCTAACTGACACGAACAAAAAACAGAGACAATTGTATAGTGCTACAGAGAGGAGACGTGCAGTCTCATGTGATGATGGGTAGTGCTAAACAGGTTTTGAACACAGGTGACAAGAGTGGATGGAGGACAACAGGCAACAAGAAACAACACACAGGCCAAGCGACTACATGGTGACGATGACTACAACTACGAGCGGACAGACACACAACTACGAGGAGGACCAAGAAAAAGGTAGAGGGTAACATGAGGATGTCCGTCGTCGAGAAACGTTCCAATTATGAAATTGCAACAACGACGGGGACGATATCTGAGTCTGGGAATAAAAGCATGCTGTATGGATATGGATATCAGGAGTCAGGAGGGGGAAGAAACTTTAAACAGAATGGACGAGTATGCGGATGCGTGCGCAAGAGACAAACAATTTCCGAATTGTTTTTAGAATTGTGATGAGGGAAAGTAAGGCAGGGAAGGACGTCATGAATGGGTGAGGTTCAACCTGCCCTCTTCTGTTTCCAAACCATTTTCGTAGCAGAAACAACAGAACAGAACGACTCGAAACTCGTATAAATCGATTAATGCAAGTATTTTTCGTTCAGCCTGTGCACCTCCCGTGCAAGGAAAGGCCAGTTAATACTCCGTGCAAGTTCGCGTCGGAATTTATTCGTATCGCCCTTAGCTCGTTCGCGAGCCAGCTCGACCTCCCAGCCACAAAGATTGTATAGTAGCCTCATGTTAGGCTGGATGAGCACATTCAACCGCCGGGAGCGCACGATGAGGTACGCATCAACAAGGGGGATCTGCAAGTGTTTCATCACATAGGCAATCTAGTAGAATCATCGGAGTAATAAGTATCGGAATGCATTCCAAGCCCGACGGAGATAACTTACAGTAACCGTTGCACTCCGCGAAACGCCCACACGACAATGTACGAGAATCGTTCCACCCTCCTCACGAGCACGTTCCATCCACTCACATACAGGAGCTAGTTGGTGCTGCAGACTATCGATACCATCGTCACAGACACCTTTTATGTCGAGGACCTTGATGCGTCCTTCACGTTCCTCCATCCATAAGGAACCATGTCCTCCCCGTCCTCTACCAGCAACAAGATGATATCCGCCCGAGGAAGCATCTGTTGCGATGTTTGTCGGGGGCACAAGCGCACATTCCCCAACAGAAACGACATGAGTTATGCCCAATGCGTGGAGCATATACGCATTCTGTGCATGTGCCCTGATGGAATAAACAGAAGTCAACAAATGTTTTCACTATAGGAAGGTCACGAAAACATACAAATTGCCAAGGTACAAGAAAGGTAAGACTCGACTCGGGAAGCTGCCATCGAATCGTGGGTCATTGAACCAAGTCTGATGGTCAACATGCGGGGGTAAGAAAGGACTAGTCTGTGCGCGCGGCCGCCTTGGCAAAGGAGACGAGAATTCGCCGTAACCCTGGCTCGGGACAACAATGGGAGGGGCGCTCAACGCCTGTTCATGACCCACCGACGATGGGTAGCTAATAGAATTGCTTGGTGAACGAGCATACGGGTGTGATGCTCCCGTTTCGCGTGCCACGTTCCACGTGCGAGTCCAGTTAAACCGTTCCCCGCGGTTTGGACTTGGCGAAGCCGCATTACTTCGGGATAAGCCAAAGCTTGGTACTGCCGCAGTCAACGCGGCACGCTCTTTCCGCAATTGCGCTTCAACACGCTTGAGTATGATGAGGTCTGATTGGTACACGAAGAATGAGCGTCCCTTGGATACCTGAGATAGACAGAACAGTCAGCATTGAGTGGCCAATTGCAAATTACAGCCACCAAGAACAGAAACGGAGATCGATGAACGTAAAACGTATACACCACAAATATTGTGGAAGCGTTTCACACCAGCACCTTCAAAAGGAACGGAACTCACCTGAAGCTCCAAGTACGCCTCTGGCAGGTCCAACCCGCGGACCTTCATCAACAAAAACAAAGCAAGCACGCTACTCTCCGTATAACCATCCACACTGTAGATTAGTATACGCTTCGGCCGCGAGGGTGAGCCATGATGCGGTGACACCAAACCAGCGAGGAAGTTCAAGAATGGCATTACGTGCCAGTGCGTATACGTCAAACACGGCGGTGAAGCAGGGAATGACAAATGTAAAACTGCAGAGGCGGACGGAGGTGGGCGCGGTGGACACACAGATGGAATTACACCCTCGCTCGAGTGAGACCGATGTCGAGCTGCCCACAATGCGTCTAACGTGGAAAGGTGAGCCTCTGCAGCTCGGATTTGCTCATCCGTAACCAGCGTGGCTGGGTCGCGGCACTCAATGCAGACGTCGTAGCCCTGTGGATTATCCGAGTTGTCGAATGGGTCATCGATCAACCTTTCTTGTCCGGCGAGACTCGACTCCGCGGCTTTCCCTTTCGCACATTCGCCAGTCTCTCGCAACCATTTATAGCGCGCGAGTTCCAACTCATCAGTATGGTACAGCGGGACGCAGTCCTTGACATTCCCCAAATAGACGCAATCATCAATGATCTCCGTTGCTTTCGTGAGCTCTCGCATTTCGTCACGCTCACGCTGCGCGAAGTCGATGGCAGGGAGAATAGCAGCCTCGGGTAGGTGCTCCGCAGTGAAGTCGTTCGCAGTTCCGTCGGGTTTCGTCGGTGCGATGGGTTCAGCCGCAGTCGTGTCCTTCCGGATCACACCATGCAGACGCGAAGCAAAGAAATCTTCCTCATTCGAGGCATCATCACTTGGGTCTGGTAGGCGATTGACCAGCCAAGGCGCTTTCTTAGCAAGGACGTGAAGCGGATCGGTAAGGACGAAGACATTGTACGCAACCAGGTATGCACGCGGGCGCCCACTCTCGCTGCGCTGCGGCTCCCTCGAGTGCGTACGTGTCCCGCAGTCCTCAACCTCCATCGCGTCCTCGCTCCTAGCAGAACCAGGACACACAATCTTAACCGCATCCTTTTCCTCAACAGGAGTCGCCTCTCCATACTGACTCTGCCGAATCCAGACAACCTCCACACCAGCCTCCTCATATTTCCTCTTCCGTTCCGCCGCTTTACGTTCAATTGCAAATTTGAACTTTTCAGCAAGTGCGAATGCCGCACGGGTCGCCGCCGGTGTCGCGCTCACACTATATACGACAATGTCGGAAAGTGTGGCATATATTGGCTATGACGGTACAATTGTAAGCATATATGCTGAAGAAAATTCAGGACACGACCGGATCGAACACATGTGCATGTATGCGCACAGATGAAGTATCCGGCCTTCCTTCCCACGCGGCATTAATCACTCAAGGGGTATTCCCGCATGGATAATTTCGCCAGGACAGGAAAGCATCGTACTAATTGATAAATTGTACTCACCACTTGTATGCCGAAATTCCGCAGGCTTATCCCACTCGGTACTTGCGGAGCCACGAACATGCATTCCCCGGTATGAGGGTCCATCGTCAAAAGATCGTTCGCATGGAAGGAAGACGCGACAGTAAGACGCATGAGCTCTTCTTCTGGATGTGTATTAATTGATCCCTTGGTTTCACGACTTTCTGTAGGGGGAATTGAAGTAGAGTCTGACGAAGTGTCTGCAGAAGCCTTTGGGGTAGCGACCGTTGCTGTACTCATGTCACCTGACGCTTGCGGTGGCACAGCCGATGAAACATCACCGGAATCCGTCTGTAGCTCCAAAATTGGAATACAATCATCTATGGCGACATCTGTTAAAGGGCTCGTGCAGGGCGTTGTCAAGGCTGTCGATTCTGTGTCCACCGGGGACTCAGTAGTTGGGGAGGCTGAGTCGGCATCAGTATCAAGGTCTTTGAGTTGCCCAACACTGGAAGCGGTAGTCGAGTAGCTCGCGCTTGTGCTAAATCCGTAGTGCGAGTGAGCGGAATCGCTAGCAGATGTCGAGACGGATGACGAAGAGTCAGAAGTCGCAATAGAGGAAGAAGTAGACAGGCGGCGGTCGTGCGGTTCATTCTCCAACTCTTCGGAGTCAGGGCTGTGATCCATGAGCGCAGGCGAAGACTCAGATGTGGGGAACCTTATTGTATGCGGGGCATGTGCACCGTGAGCATGCATATTCGTGTGATGTGATGGTGACGAAGAGGTGAAGTACGAAGTGTGGTTGTGCGCGGAATGAATCGCTATCGGAGCGGTTGCAGAGGGCTTGCGGAACGTCTGGGGATGCATGTGGGCATCCTCTGACTGAGCGTCGAGCTGGGACTCGGTCGTAGATGCGTCCTCAGAAGTGACTACGTCAACATGTGCGTCTCCATCGTCTACCTGCATTAGCTCTCCGCGCCCGTCTATCTCAAAGTCATCCTCACTCTCGCCCTGGCAATATTCATCGTCAGAGTCGAATTCGAGGTCCTCGTCAGAGTCGAGGACATCTCCCTCTCGTGCACCTCCGTTCGCCTGGTGCTCGTCTCCCTCACAGGCGACCCACATGAGACCACGGTACTCTGGTACCTTCACAACATGAGGCGTATGCATACGGGAAGGGTATGGGTTCGAAGGATCTACATCACGACGTATGCCGAGATCGAGACCACTGGAGGCAGCGAAGAAAGAGTTCTGTTGGTAGTTGTCGCCCTCAAGGCCATGCAAGAAGGGAAATAAGACGGAGTCGGGAACATCACTGGTGAGGTGAGCAAGATGGATATCCGCGAAGGCATCGGCATCTATAGCGCGGATGGGCTGATGTGGATGTGGACGAGGGAGTAAGACGGGGAGACGCTGAACATTGGGAGCGGGGATCGGTATGGCGGCGGAGGCAGCATTGTCAGAGTCGGTCATGACCTATGTGTAGGTGGCTGTCGTTGTCGTCGTCGTTGTTGATGGCGGAGACGGAGAAAGGCAGAGAGTGTAGAGACTGCGAAGGGACTCAAGGGAGCACTTGCACTCGTTCCACTTACAACTCTCTGGCTGACGGTGTTCAATAGATACACTGCAACTCGTGGGACACACTTTCCATATCAGTCTCAGAAGCCTCTTGCCTTCTGCCTTCTTTAAATTCGCGGGACCCCTGGACACCCCGCTAACATCTACCCGTACTGTACTCCTGATCTAAAATAGATCAGGCGGCGCTCATCCTTTCTTTGTCGCCTCCTTCCTTTGGCAATGCCGTTATGTTTCGGCCACAACAACAACAGTCCTACCCGTCGTCGCCAGCGACAAGGGTGGACACCAGAGGGAGGGAACGGACCCGCTGCCCGATGGATCTTGGAGTGCTTAGGGACCATCATGAGGGGCGGTGCGATAATGGAAAAATGAATGCATTTTAGGCAGTTGATCCAGATCTGCACTCGCAGCGCATACAATCAATGTGTTATACGCAAATATACCCGAGATAAACTATCCCGCGCCCACAGAAGGCACCTGTCGTCGCAGCGACATCCTCTCGCTGACGGAGACGGAGCTCGGGAGATAAGGCGCGACAGATATCACTCTTTATTCCCTTCTACCCAGCGGGTACTCACGAGCCCACCGATTGCATCAGCTTCCTCCCACACTCGCACCCGTTGTGAACAGCCCCTTTGTCCTTTATTGGGTTTCTGGTCAAATTCTAGACACTCAATCTCCGCCAAGACCAACGCCCGAAAACCCGACAAAGTCCGCCCGTTGCGCAATTCTTTCTTCTTGTAGAAGTACATAGAAACATAGAAACATAGAAACACATACACAACTTGTCCTATCTACATCTCTGCGCCCAGAGTACAGCGTCCGCCCCTGTTCACGGAGCTCATCCTCTTTCTGATCGCCATGACCCGTTCATGGAACCCAGGTCTAGACGTTCAATTGCTACACGCTGCCGTGCCTTGCATCCAAGGGGTCCTCGGCTAACACAACATGAGGCACCAAAGAAACACACATCTCCATCCCTCTTCCTTCACCCGGCTTAACATTGGTCAGTCACAGATGCATAGAGACTCGGCCCACGCCCACTTAAAGCCCACAAACACCCCCGCATTTGACACCCATTCATTCGGTTTGGGTCACCTGCCCCTTCATCTTATTCACTCTCCATCACGGCTGATATCATTCCGAACCTGAGCGCCTCGTCGGGTCCAGCACGCAAAGCTTGTCCAGCAGATCACAAGCACGGATGAACAGCTTCTTGTAGTTAGTTCGCCCGTTCGTCGCGATTCGATAGTGATATACGTGTCGTCGTGCTTCCCCACACACCCAACGAATAAAATCTATCACTACTCTATGAGGATGAAGGCAAGTTAGCTTTGACGGGATCATACATACCCGAATGAACCCTAATCCGCGAAAGCCTCCATAGTGTATGTTAGCGAAGCACATTGAAGCACATCGATGATTACATCCGGCTCCCGGATGTCGACTAGGAACCGTCACCATCGCGTCACCGCCGCGTACACCTAGACAATCTACCTATCTACTCAGCCCAGACCAGGAAGCTTTACCCTAACTTGAGCCCCGTGCATATTTCGTGGATCTCCGTCTTCATTTCCCAGCACGTTCACATTTTCAAATCAAATACCTATGGGTCTCGGAGTAGTATCCATTTTTCGATCTATTCACGCAGAAAACGCGCGGGCTTGAGAGGAGATTCAGATCCAGATAGGCTTTCTTGTCTGAGTGCGAATTTCACATCTCGAAACGAAATCAGAGAGTCAAGTATCAGGGTATACCGGACGGACGGATGGACGAGCGGTAAGGTGCGTCAGCTCGTGTTAACAACACTACGCAACACACTTCCGTTAGTGCCAGACGTAATAACATACATACAATTAACTCACTTCGTGGAGATCACGAGGACTAGGCATGATCACATTCCGTCGCCCAATCTCACATTGACAAGACTCCATTACACAAATCTCGTCAAAGCCATTCCTTCTGAATCATTCCCCACCTGGTCTCGCACTCTTCCGTAACTCAAGATCCGATTTCCCTCTCTCACGGACACACTTAACAACACCTAAACATTCTCTTGTCGCCTCGCGTCGCTCACACATCCGTAAACCGTGAACCGAGAACAAAGTGATGAATGATGGAGATGTTCGAGACATCTTCTCTAGGAGACTCCGATCATGGATGTCATATCTGAAGATTCTGAACCTGGATCGCCCTCATCCAGACCACAGGATTCCAGGATAATTAAATTAAATTATTCTACTTTGTCCCATGCCACGCCATGCCGATCTCAACCGTCCGTGATTATCTTCCGTCCCGTCTCGCTTGTCCCTCTGGTTGCCTGTGATAATGATATGATGGCTTGATCATTGATGGGACCCCACCCTCCAATCAACGCATTCAGTAAATTAAATCAATATCAAAAGAAATTACCAAATTATTAAATTAACAAATCCCTCTACAGGAAAAAGCATCCGTAGTCGTGTGTCATCCCATGAAACCTTGGATTCGTATGATGTCGTGATCGTTTTAATTCATTTTACTTACGCCATACGACTAAAAACAAAAAAAAATCACGCTATGTAGCTCCACATTTTTGGCGAAACTGACTTCTAAGTTCTAACGCTGGTTGTAGATGATCACTTGGATTTGGCTTCTCCGCAGCACCATGACCCACACCGCCTATTCACCAGTCAATGTTCCGACCGAGTTATGTGCGATGGTCGCAGTCAGATGTTCTTCGCGACGATGGACATACCCACGAATATCTCTGTGCTTATCATGTTTTCTGTTTCATCGGCGGAAATATAGACGAGGAAACACGTAGTTCTTAGCAACACGACGACGGATTTAGCAACACAACAAAGTCCAGCCACAGATAAACCGACATTCTGAATGAATGAATGACAGATGAATTGGTGGGAGGCCGCTTCTTTGCCTCCGTACACGTTCTAAGTGGTGTTGAATAAGAATAAGGTGTGTTGTGCGGATGTGCCACAAGTTTTTTCTCACCGGCGTTGGAGTAGCTCTACTATGTATACTATCTTGGCTCCCGCGACGAGCACTAACTACAGTAAGCTGGAGCTTCCGTACGTACGGTCTTTGGTCTTTGGGCATGCCTTGGGTGCGTACGGTCTTGCTGGGTTCACCTCTTTGTGGCCCTCAACCTTCTGTGCTCGGATTCTCGTGCTTCGAGCGGGCTTGCTCGGTGAACTATTGAATACTATTGTGTGGTCTGCAACCTGCACCCTCTTCTGCCCTCTCGTCCCTGGTGCTTCGGACGGTCTTGTTGGGTTTGTCACTGTGTGGCTCTCAACCTTCCATGCTCTCATACTCGTGCTTCGGGCGGGCTTGCTCGGTCTACTAGTGTACTACTGTATGGTCTTCAAATTTCACCCTCTTCCACTCTCTCGTTCCTGGTACTTCTGACGGCCTGAGTCGGTCTACTACTGTGTAGTCTTCAGTCTTCTGTGTGCTCGTCCCCAATTCTTTGCTTGTGAACGTCCCACTGTTGCGGGTTACGCAAAGACATCTTTGTAACGTACATATGTACGTACGGCGAACACGCGCCTCCGACCAATCGACGTAGTTTACGGATTCTGAGGCGCCCTTCATTTTCACTTTGAACTACTTGGAAGCCCGTCGGAAGCTGAAGAGCCTATGAATAACTGGAAAAACTTCGGTTAGTGGAAGCAAGGCTCATCATTCATCACTGTACCCTCTTCCTTTCTTCGTGTGCGGGTACACACGACATCGATGGTGGCTCAACGGAGTGCGTTACAGTTCTCATGCCATCGTCTTGGGATCCCAGGGCTTGCGTGGCTGCGATGATTGTCTGTGAGCTTGTTTCATTCATAATTCTGTACAACAACATAACATAAATTTAGGTCGTGACTTTCTGCCAGCCGCCACTATCTGACCCTTATCTGACCAACAGCTCACGCCCAGACGCTCTCACGAAACTATCTTGGTTCGAGACCAATGCTCTAGCAGTGCTTCCTCATTCAACGCCAAGGAATTTAATCCTCTCCTACAAGGCACACACTCATAAACCTCTGAGCACTCCTCACCAATCAAGGTGATGCGGAATGAATACCTCTAGTGTGAAGGCCTCCAAGAGTGTGCCCGATCTATTAAAACATAACATTCTGCCAGCGTTGCTCGTGCTCTCAGGGAGTTATATTGGAGCAAGCGGAGTATTGCTTTTGGTATGCGGACCGCGCGCGCATGCACTAGCTTCGTTCCATTCTATTATTCGGGTTGAAGTTATCGCGCGGGTTCGAGCGGTGCGAATGGGCAGCGGAAACCTTGCAGTCGTAGTGTCAGTATCAATGCTATCAACGTTAATGAGCAGTTCTTCCAGACCTCGGACGTGCAGATGAGGCATATCCATACAATCATATTGACATGCAACAATACAAATTGTTGTATGGAATATATTGTATGCTTCGAGTTACATGAAGGTTATTCATTGCAAGCGGAAGTTTCGGCGCATGTAACTCCCTAGGTTGTTCGTTTGCGTTGAACTCGGATGTAGAATATTGTGAAGACAGGCTGTATTAAAGAATACCAATGTATTGAGATAATTTTATACGTCTGTAAGGCTGATAATGCTAGTACTTAAATTGGTTTGGATGCGGGACGTCGACTAAGATTATTAGCCCGATAATTGAGAACAGCTGGTCCGACAGCGCTACATGTTACAGCCTAATAATTAATGGATCCTGTGGACCCACACATGACATGTATGCATTTGTTATTGCTTATGACATATAAATGTATGTCATAAACATACCAATGACAAAAAGGTACTTAGCCTCAGGCGGTGACAAGCAGAGCGCTCATTCGTGTGCGTGTGCCTCGGTCAGTTCTGATGGTTGCGAGGTCGCCAGCACCCCAACGCCTTTCAACACCATTTGACGCCATTCGTCACGCTTCTATGAGATGAAATCATAAATAGTGTACCTTCGAATGGCACTTGCCGAGGTAATTTGAGTTTTCCTGTGGAGCTTCTTCGTTTTGTTTTGGTTTTGGCAAAGCCTCTATCCAATGGCGGATGATATGTGTGCCTATTCTTGTCTGGCCAATACAGTGGCGCGCCACTCATCTACACGTGCTGGACACTTGTGGAGATGAAAGGATGCGAAGTTATGAGTGTGGACCCGAGTCACCCTGCGAATCTCCTTCAGCATCTGCAGCGGGGAAGAGGACGGAAGAAGATGACATACTTTGTTATTGATCGAGTGAAAATGTGGACAGCTGCACCGCGTTTTGTAGATCATACCCAAACCTGGTGTACATACTTCCCGCATGCATATGTGGCGTAACTTAACGATTTGTCTAGTGAATGACCCATACATACTCTCCGTTGTACGGTGTGCTCAGTGTGCAGCCTTAGTGTATAATTTGAACCGTAATGTGTAACTGATTCAGGCTAAACAAAGATTATCACCGACCTTCGAATGAAGACTACTAAATGTCTCAGATCCGCTCACTAGTGCCACGCAATCCGCAGCTTATCTCCTCGAGAAAATTTCAACCTTTCTTACCCTGCACACAAGCCTGTCTCAAAGGCAAAATGTCTCTGTTCGATCTTGAGCGCTAAACTACCATTCACGATCGACTGGACTGGAGAATCGATCATGTACACAGTTGCGCATCCCTTTAGCCTGTCATTCTGTCCTGTCCATCGCGCAATCCCGAGGCATGTACAGTGTGTAGTTTTACAGTGCTGACGACCGCCACGGAACGTAAATAAACTCGGTCCCACAGGAAGAAAAGATTGCCTGCAAACCAGTTTGTCCTGAGACAGAACCCTAGAGACGCAGGAGGCCTTTCCCTTTGACGAAGCGAGGATCCTCTTGGAGACCGATCCTACTGCAATATGACGATTCATTACATCAAAATCAGACACGCATGACATGGCGGTGTAATGATCAACGGAAGCAAGAAGCACTATAAAAATCCTTCTGCACTGTGGCACGTGAGGGGAACGCGACGAATTCGGAGTCGAATGAAACTCCGACGCAAACCTGGTTCGATACAATCACGAATGGACAATTCTCCGTATATCTCACCCTAATGGAACAATCACCAATTATTTAGGTTTAAGCTGGCTCCCAGGCTTCCTTCCTTATAACACTAATGTTCCAGTAGCATTGCTGCGGCCGAAATACTCGGGTTTTGTTATCTTCGACATTGAGCTGGCATCACGCGATGCGCTTAATCGGAAAGCTAAAACCTCTCTGTCCGCATATTTCGGGTATGTTTCTGTCTTGTGAACAGTATTCAGGAAGAACGTGTACTCACAACTAGATTCTTCGTACCACATTGATTGGCCATGATATGTTGCTTTATGTCGGATCTTCAAAGACGATCGGAACTCGTGAGCACGAGACGTACTGGTAGGTTGGCGAATGAGCACTGTATGATACGCTGCTAATGGATTTGCACGAGTTTAGTTGTAAGTGTCTACTGTTTCATCCCTAGCTATAAGCCTCCCTCTGACACTTTTATGATTTTACCATATTCTACACAAACTGAATTGATGCACACTCTGACGTCCGCACTAGTCGTCAGCACACGAGTTCCTCAGCAGCAGGCAACATATGACTTCATGTGCTTCTATTCTTCTCTTCTCAAGGCACGAGTGGGGTAAACAAAGGTCATCTGCAACATACACGTTCCGCTTCGGTGCTCAACTGGAATCACTTCTGTCATGACTTTCCCCATCCACTTCCTCGACATATGCTTTAGTGTCAAAGTTTTTGTCCTAGCGTAGGCTTGTGACCGGTATTCTTCTCTACTCCGCACCGTCCGGCCACATCATTTAACATTCAAGAAGGATCCTTTGGCCAATGGATAAACGGGCAAGTATGCTTCTGTTCTGCTCCGCATATGTCCTCAATGTACAGTATTTCCGACTCGGAAAGGCGCATCTCAAGTCTTTTGAACCGTCAAATGCCAGACATATCAATCGAAGCTTCTCAATCCTCAGAATTAGCCACCTGACGTGTGAATAACATACGAATGTCATGAGTGCCAAATGCTACTTAAAGCCTCCGTAGCTTCTTTGTTCTTTTGTCTCTCAGTAACTCCACTAATTCCCTCAGGCTGTCAAGCGTTGTTTCCGAAGTCCATCCCAGTCCCAGCGATGATACCATATTCGCCTGAACCAATCACTCATTTGAGTTACTGTAATTACCACTATATACCATCAACTTCTCCATTTATTCTTGTTTGATCATTTCATTCACAGTATCCACAAGCGCACATTTTGCCTTGATTGCGCAACATGAACGTGCTCCAGGTACACTGATATAAGTGATATATGCGTCCACAAGAAGCCTAAGTCAATGTCTTAGATCAAGGATCATGACAATCACAAAATCAAAAATCCGAGATGCCGAGATACCAAGATCCAACTTGAAGATGACGGAGACTACTACTACTGGATACGACTCGGACGTCTTTTTGTCCACCATACGTAGCATATTTTTATAAATGCAAACCACAATTCCGAGAGACGATCTGATCCGAACAACGTTCAACACGCCCAATGGACCTACGTACATAAATACAAAATATGGAAGTTCATAATAACGATAATGATGTTCCTCTCTTAACTGCCAATGCCAACGCTCTCGGTTATCAGTGATTTCCCATTTACAAGCAACGTCAGGATCGAGTTGTTGTCTCAATGTTCGACTTGGAGGTGGCGCAGAGACTGTATATCTATATGTGGATATTAATACCTGAGACTCCGGGTCGTCAGGAAACCGAGAATCAGATATCAGCAAAGGAGTAATAGTAACTTAATCTAATCTCATCGTTCTTGCAGATCATGATAAACAACGTAACGACCAGCGTCTCCTATCTGTCTATCATTATCAATTGTACTTGATGTGTGATAATATTTTATCCATCAGCTCAAACACAAACTTGAAGAAGCCTTGACATTAGACCTGGAGGGATTTGAGAATGTAGTATATTGTCATGTTCAAAATCGTGCTTGGAGAAGGCTTTTTGTACATGTATTTGCTCAGTTGAGGGCAAAAAAAAAACAATTCTTATTATTCTTCAATAATGGATAAGTTACTGTATATAGGCAGTGATAATATATTGTAGCAGTTAAATACATTCAATTCAAAGGACTTTCAACAGAATGAAGTGGAACAGATTAAGCTCAGAAGTTATGTACTACAGCAGATTGACAGACTTTGTAATATCCTACATGCAATTCTAATAACAGGCTGCATAGTAATAGAGAATACACTGTGTTTATTAAAATGCATGTATATGCATTTCTGGTGTTATGAATAAAATGAGAAATGGTAGTGTAAAGCAGAGAGACAGACTTGCATGTGAAACAGAAAGCAATTATACAGACAGGGTAATTAATATTGTCTTCCATCAGGATAAAGGCTTCAAGTACGTGCAAAGTGACCACAACTCAGAGTCAAGATCCGTAGACAGGCCCCTGCAGTAGCCATATACCCCCTAGCTTATACAGCACGTAAGCTTCTGCCTCACCTCACCCCCTGTATACATTCAACAACGCACGGCAAGACGACACCGTGTCTTTGAATTCAAGAGAACCTGGTGACCTTTCGATGACCAGTACAAGATGCCTGGACGGGCGACTTTAGCCGCAGCGACCTGATTGACATCTGCACACACTCTTGCAATACTCAAAATTAATTAAAAAAATCCCCTCGATTAAAATCATAAATCGTAAGAAGCAAATAAACTGTCCAAACAGTGTAAAGTCCGTCTACACCAAGCGTGTAATGTAGAACGTAAATATAGCCTATCCTATCCTATCTAGAAAGGTGGGCTAAACAACAACAGCAGGGTCGAAGAAGTATCAAAGGAGAAGGGAATGTAATAGGAAGGGGGGGAGGTGAGGTGTCCGCGATAATAGCGTTAATGGGATAGGTATAGAGACAAGATGTACATGAGAAGTGGTAACGCAGCATCGTGTAGAAATACTAGTATGACGCGTCCGCAGTCCTGTATCTGTCGTTTGAAAGTGGTGGTTCTCCGTATATGCTGGGCCGACGACACGACATGAATGGTGGAGGGCTGGGGAAGAGGAGCGAAAGTGGGGATAGAAAGAGCTAACGAGAGGACGCTGAGTATACCATACCAACAAGGAGATTAATTGTACAATAGCAGAGGCGTATCCGGTTCCCGTTCGTTCGTTTTTCCATTTACGATTAGGACGATTGCTGCGAGCAATCCGGAATCGTGATATCCTTCAACGTACGATCCGAGTTGAACAACCCCCACCAGCCTTCAACACCGCCAAACTGCTGATCCTTCCACACCTCATCAAAGTACTCGAAGAAGAAGTATCCCGTCCCATTCGTGTTTGCCTGGCAAACGAACGTATCCAGGAACTTTTGCAAATTCGGTATGGATGCATCAGATGCACCGTTATTTGCGTTGCCAGCGTCCGATGATTTCTGTAGATCAGTAACAACGGAATCAGAAAATGTATATAACACGGGACAAATAGAAGAAGATCATGTCGATCATGTAAAGAACTAACCGTTGGCCACCCGGTCTCCGCAATGTACATATGCGGCTTGTTCGACACTTGATTCGCCTGGGCAATGTTAGTGTCTTGGAAGAACTCGGCAGTCCAGCCAGCGGCGTTGTCAATCGACGTGTTCGCGAACCACGGATGTACGTTCGCCATCTGAGAAAGTCAACAAAACCCCAAAATATAACATGACGACAAAAATAAATTCATTCAAAAATAGAAGCATCGTCATTAAAAAGTGGCGAGGGATGAGTTATTTTGGGCGCGGATGCCGATGCGCAGCAGACAGGCCGAAGGAATTTCAGGAAGAAACATTCAGCCAAACGGGGCAAGCAAGGGGAAAGAAAAATTCAAGCATCAGAACAATTTGCTTTGCATCCATGATACGAAGAAAAAAACCGCACCCCGTAATCAACGGCGGCAAGGATCTCGTTGTTGAAGAACGAGCCGGCATCAGAGTTACCAACTGGAAGGCTGACACCCATGCTACTGAGCATGTTTCGGGTATCCGTGATGTTTTGAATGAGCAACTCGGCTCCGGCGTTGCCAACAGCAGTATTTACGGCGTCCGCGGTTGCACTTTGAGAGTTTAACCAGCTATGCAAGTATAATTGTCAGACAGGGGGGCGACGTTCTGGCGTAGACAAAAAAACATACTTGAGCATGAATTCATTTCCAACGGTGATACCACCGATGTGGTCCGTGCCATAGGTCTGAATGGCGTCTTTGATAACATCCCTCTGGCGCACGTATGCCGCGCCACCATCGGTTGGGACGTTGTAGTTTCCAAGGTAGACAGTCATATTCACCTTCGTCTGCTTGACCGCCTCGAGCTATCCAGGCACCAGTTAATACCATATTCAAGGAAACACGAGAATATGAACATACAACGAGCGCAGACTGATTGCAGTCGGCTCCATAAAGACGGAGGCGAGTCGTCAATTGCGAAAGCAGCTGTAAACGCGTGGCATCAGCGAAAAATGTCAAACTGCCACATGGAATTGAAGCCAAACCTGAATATCAGTGATGACTTGCTCTATTCATTCAAACACAAATGAAATACAAAACGTGTCAACAAGGAGGCAAGCACAGTGCTTAGAAAGCAAGCAGAATCGCACCGAGATTGTTTCCGCAATTGGGCAGTTGAGAACCCTCCGGAGTATAGGCAATCCCGTAGAAGCTCTGCTTCAATGCGCTGTTCTTCGTAAACTGGCTTGGATCGCCCGAGCTGGACTGGCCGCTGGGGTTGCTGGCGTCCAGATTTTTGTTGTCGTGCGACTTGCTCTTCGCCACACCGACGCCGACGCCAACAGCGACGGCGATGATGGCCGCGATACCGACGATGGAGCCAATTACGATCCACTTAGTGCGCGATGAGCTCGAGCGCGTGCCCTTCTCGAGCCATGCACTGTTAGGTTCCATTGAGCTGTACCCCGAGGGACCGACGTTAGATGCAAACTGTGCGGGCGGCATGTAGAGCGGGTTTTCAGAGTCGTCCTCGTAATTGTGGACGGGATGGAAGCCTGCCGAATTTGATTGTGCGGTGGCGGCGCCTTGAGGGAAGTGAGGAGAGGAGTCGGCGTAGGAGTTGTGGTAGTCGTAGTAGGAGTGAGTAGGTGACGGGTTATTGTAGAGGTGGGAGAGCCGATGCGGTGGCTGCGGAACAGGACCAAGTCGTCAGAACCCAAGCCGGAAGGGATGACGGAAGTGGAATGGACACAAGACACGCGGTGTGATGCGGCCGGTTGGTTTTAGGGTGATTGATTGGTTGAATAGTTGTTGCAATTCGGGGATATAGAGGATATATAAAGGTTGAAGCAAGGAGTGGACGAACGGCGGCGCAGCAGCGGTAGCGTTGCAGAAGGGAAGATGGAGGAAGAGAAGAGAAGAGTAGATGATAGTCAGAAACACAAGAAAAAAGAGAGGGAGTGAAGCGACTGAACTGGAATCTGTCCATCGAAACCGAGGTATGAGTCCGGGCCTGTTCCTGCCGACGGGCGTGCCATCACTATTCACAGGTTATCCGCTAACAGTACACTATATATCTATCTGTTACAAAGTGTACGTCGTCGGACGTGTCAGTCGTTAGTCGTCAGTCGTCAACAGCGCTGATGAGGGCGTTGAGGTGAGTGAGTGGAGTAGTGAGAGTTGAACGGGAGCGCGAGAATGTTTAGGGGTTCTAAAGTTGAACTGTCTGCCAAAGTGAGTGATGTACCCACATCTAGTCTAGTTCTCAAACTGTAACAGAAACAATAATCATCCCGTGCATAATCTGGCCCTGTCTTAGCCTCTGCCGCCCATCTATTTCCTTTTCTCTGTCTTTCTCCAATCTGCAATCATTCCGGTTAAGCTTCCACAAAGTTATGTTTGTTAGCGACATTTTATTGCTGGCACTCCTGAAAACTAACCTTCCTCTTCGCTCGGCTCACCTCCCTCGGATCAGACCGTCGGATATACTCCAAAATAAGCATGACTACAAATGTATTTTAGGATCAACGACTTCTGGATTTACTTTGCAACAGATGCCGAAAAAACTGTAAATCTATATAACAGCATTTTATCTTGAATAGCTAATCTGAAAACACAGGTTTTACAACACTGCCATTGCAAAGCACAAACTGCGCAAGTCTCACAATATGCAGAGATGATGTGATGGAAGTAGATACTCTACTGTCCAGGAAACACAACGAGACAACAAAAAGTGTCTGTAGATTCAAGCACTGCTACTAGTGCTAGCTTGATTATATTGCATATAGCAGGATCAATTAAAAATTCGAGTAAAGCTGCTGGTGAGGCGAATGGAAATTTATCCAGATGTTTGCAAAAATGCATCGAATTTATTGTTGCTTCTGCCACTCATCACATCATCAACGTGTTTCCAGCATGGCAACTTGAAGTGCAGCGAACAGACGCCCGTCTCGTACTCCTAACCACAACGTTGTGGCCAGTGTGCAAGCTAGTGCATCATTGCCCATCCCAGGCACGGTACCCAAGGTCAAGTAACAACGGCGGTTCGTCCATATTCTGAAATTTCTCAAAGTTCATCTGTTGATCTGCCTCTCATCAATGCAGAGTGTACGTAAAGTGGGAAGCCATTCGTTTCGTTCGAGAAATCCCTGCGTTCAGGAAGTGTCGTGAAGACGAGTTGCTAAGTCTGGGTAATGTTTCTGCCCGTATGTCGTCTTTACGTTTTTGCCACGAAAATCTGCATGTTGACTGAATTCTCTTCATCTAGACTTATCCGAGAGATATTTCTCCTTGGCCCTTGAACATTGGGAACGCTTCGAGCAGCCAGGTGAACGGGAAGAGCTCGAAAAGTCGATCGAGCACGATCGTGCTGCTCTCAACCTTCGTGCTGTAGGACATCCCAATCGTTCAGGTTCGTTATGCAACCTTGCAGTTTCTCTCTTAAGGCAAGGTACGAACGATGGGGAAAAAATAGAAGATCTAGAAGAAGCCATCGAGTTGGAACAAGCCGTTCTGGATTTTCGCCCCAAAGGTCATCCTGGCGGTCCAATCTCCTTTAATAACCTTGCAAGTTCCTTGATTATTCGATTCGAGCAGCACGGACAGATAGAGGACCTCGAGCAGGCAGTTACATTGAACCGAGAGGCCTTGGAGCTTTGCCCAGACAACCATCGACATCGTTCTCAGTTTCTGACTAGCCTTGCAACTTCTCTGCGCAAACGATTCGGGCAACACGGAAGGACCGAGGACCTTGATGATGCCATTGCATTGCATCAATATGCTTTACAGCTTCGCCCCGAAAGCCATCCTCTTCGTTATATATCTCTGAACAACCTTGCAACGTCCCTGCAGACGCGATTTGAGAAGTACGGAAGAGCTGAGGACCTTGAGGAGACAGTCAAGTTGAACCGAGCTGCTCTGAAGCTTCTCCCCGAAAGCCATTTTTCTTATTCCTTATTGTTGAACAACCTTGCAAGTTCCCTACGAATTCGATTTGAGCACAATAGAAAGACAGAGGATCTTGAGGAGACGATCGAGTTGCACCAAGCTGTTCTGGAACTTCGTCCTATGAGCCATCTCCATCGCTCGGCGTCTCTGAGCAATCTTGCAAACTCCTTACAGTTTCGATTTGAGCTGAGTGGAGGAATTGAGGATATTGACAAGGCAATCGAGTTGCACCGAGTTGCGCTGGAGCTTCGTTCCGAAGGTCATCCTGATCGATCAGGGTCTCTAAACAATCTTGCACTTTGTTTGCGCATACGATTCAGGCACCGCGGGAGGACTGAAGACCTTGACAAAGCGATTGAGATGAGCTTTTGAACGAAGCTGCTCTGGAGCTTCGCCCCAAAGATCATCCGCTTCGTTCACAGCCTTTGGGCAACCTTGCGAATATCCTGCGCATCCGATTCTGGCAACATGGTCGTGCCGAGGACCTTGACAGGGCAATTGAATTTGATAGAGATACCCTTATGCTTCATCCAACAGGCCATCCTGATCGCCCCGAGTCTCTGAGTAACCTTGCAGCCACCCTGCTTACTCGATTTAATCAGTATGGGCTGTTTGAGAACCTTGAGGAGGCAATTGAGTTGCAGCAGGCTGCTCTGGCTGTCTGCTCCAAGGGCTATCCTCAGCGTTCGTTATCTCTTGATTGCCTTGCAAATTCCCTAAAGACTCGATTTGGACAGCACGGAAGGATCGAGGATCTTGACAAAGCAATCGAGTTGCATCGAGCTGCTCCGGAGCTTCGCCCCGAAGGCCATCCGCTTCGTTCATCATCTCTAACGAATCTTGCGGGTTCCCTACACGCTCGGTTTGCGCAGCGCGGAAATATAGAGGATCTTGATGAGGCTGTTGACTTAGAGCGAGCTGCCGTGGTACTTCGCCCTGAATGCCATCCTGATCATTCTATGTCTCTGCACAACCTTGCAGTTTCCTTACACACTCGATTCATGCAATATGAAAGGACTGACGATCTCGAGGAGGCAATCGATTCGTATCGAAATGGCATAGACAATAGATTCGGAGGTGACGATGAACGCGCTTTGCCTCTAAGTAACCTTGCAAGTTCCCTACATGCTCGATTTGAGCAGCATGGCAGGAACGAAGACCTTGACGAGGCACTCAGGTGGCATCAAGCTGCCCTAGAGCTTTGCCCTACAAGTTATCCTTATTGCTCTATGTTCCTGGATAACCTTGCAAATGCACTAAATACTCGATTTGAGCAGTACGGAAGGACTGAAGATATTGACAAGGCGGTCGAGTTGCACCAAGCTGCTTTGTAACTTCGTCCTGAAGGTCATCCTGATCGTTCATCGTCTCTAAATAACCTTGCGAATTGTTTGGGTACTCGATTTGAGAAGTACATCAAGGCTGAAGACCTTGAGGAGGCTATCAAGTTGCACCGAGCCGGCCTGGATCTTCGCCCTGTAGGTTATGCACTTCATTCTACGTCGCTGAGAAACCTCGCGAAGTTCTTATTAATCCGAGTCGGGAGACAATGGCATGCGGAAGAGTTCGAAGAGTGTATAATATTAATGGAGCTCGCAGCTACTCATACATTCTCGGGACCGTTAGAGCGCCTTTCCGCTTCGCATCGTTGGGTAGAAGTCGCGCGATCGCACGACCACCGCACAGCTTTTTCGGCTTGCAGGACGGCAATATCGATACTTCAACGTGCTCTCACCATAAATCCAACTCTCCGCGAACAACATGACTTCCTTATCAAGAAGAGTCGCTATAGAATGCTCACTTTGGAAGCCGCTTCCTTCGCAATAGAGAAAAATGACCTGCGACAAGCCGTCGAGATGCTTGAGCAAGGAAGAGGCTTGTTGTGGTCGCAGTTGCGCGGTTTCGGGACGCCTTTAGACCAGCTTGCAGAAACACATGGAGAGATCGTCGACAGGTTTAAGAATATTAGCCGTCAGTTGGAGGGTCTTGCAACGTCGCACGATGAGTTATTGTCTGGTTTAACTATGCCCAAATGTGGATCACTTGGGCTGGACAAGCGACGAAAATCATTCGACGAGGTATTCAAATTAAAGAATCAACTTTCCAACAAACTGGAGGAAATTATCAACGAAATTCGACGTGTTCCGGGGTTCGAGAGCTTCCTAGAAGCGACGCCGTTTACAGAACTGCGACAGGCAGCTTCCGAGGGACCGGTGATCATGGTAAACCACTGCAGATATCGTTCGGATGTCCTCATTATCCTCCCTCGTGATGAATCACCCGTTGTCTGTGTTCCGTTGGATGAAGAGTTCTACGCAGATAGCAATCAGGTGTGCAACCAGCTTCTGGAAACGCGCCGACAGTTTGGCGCTGATTCGCTGGATTATGACAAGAAGCTGCGCGAGGCGATGAAGATGTTATGGGTCAGAGTTGTCTCCAAAGTTGTCACCAAACTTTAAGAATGCGGAATTGTCGAGGGAACGCGAATCTGGTGGTGTCCAACTTCAACATTATCTATGCTCCCTTTCCATGCTGCAGGACCATTCGAAGATGCAGATGCGATCCCAAAATACTTGTTGGACGTTTATGTCTCGTCATATACGCCAACATTAGGGGCCCTTATCAATGCTCGGTCAGGTGGCAATGAAGTCAGACCTGAATCGACAGTACTTGTTATCGGGGATACTTCACTACGGTCTGCGAAACAGGAGATTTCTAATATCCGAAATTGTGGGATGAATACCAATTAATCGTCGGAAAGAAAGCTTCTCATGCTGCAGTAGTCAAAGCGTTTCAGGAAACAACATGGGTGCATTTCGTCTGTCATGGATTTTTAGAGTCAAAGCCTTTCAGCTCTTCGTTCAAACTATTGGACCATGGGCTAACATTTCTCGATACCGTCCAGGCGAGTCTTCCGCGTGCGGAGTTTGCATTTCTTTCTGCCTGCCACACCGCTGAACAACCACATAACGGTGCACACGACGAAGTCCTTCATCTTGCGGCAGCCATGCAGTTTTCTGGCCTCCGAAACGTAATTGGTTCGATGTGGGAGCTACTCGACACAGACGGTCCTGCATTTGCTAAGACTGTCTATGAGTACATAAACGAATGCGAGGAAGGTGAGGCGAAGCATAAGAGGGCAGCTGCAGGACTTCGGAAAGCGGCCTTAGACCTGAAAGCACGGAGTGACATTAAGGCAGAATTTTGTGCACATCGGCGCTTGAGTGGAGTCAGTGGACATGATATCATTTGTTCTGCACTGTGTAATGTAGAATCTAGAATATCCTTTTTTTTGAATATTCTTTCCTTTCTATTTTCTTTCCCTGTTGCATGGCAGCAAAAGTTTTGTACTGTACAGTAGAAATACTTTATTGCATAGTATTATAAAGCATATATACCTGCTATAAGGCATTATGTATGGATTTGTCCCAACATTATACAGTAAAACATTTTCTATTGTATGTTACACGAAGCAGAATCACGTTCTGCATAGACCAGAAAAATTTAGTCAGTCAATATGTGAAAGCAGCCAATCAGAGCAGCTTTATCACATCCAGATAAAAATTCTGGGTACGTTCAAAATTTGATTTTGCCTTGTGTGTATGCTACACCATACCACACGAGATCTTAGGCCTGGAAATACAAACTTCAATCCGCATGAATCTAGTGATCTATTTCAACTAAAGCTAATAACGACAATGAATATTACTGTAATCTCTCTTTAGTTGCAGCATCTTGACAGAACACTCAATAACCATGTTCCATCCATAGTACTCACTCACTACTTGCTTGGTTTAAGTTTTCTTAATACACGTATCGTTCACATTCACAATCTTCTACTAACAGACCTAGTAAAAAAGACAAACAAATGAACAAACAAAACAAGTGTGAGACACAAAGAAAAAACTAACAAATCTGTAAATACGTAGAGTGTCTATAATACCCGTGGACAGTAACAAAAAACAATAGCAGCACGGGAAAGGAGTCAAACATGTCGTGCAATCATTAATATAACAGATGAAAGGAAAGTGGACGTGAAGCAGGATTATAGAATCAGCTGAGTGGATAAAGAAAGGATACAGATAGAGACAAGTGTAAAAGGCTAGTTATTAAGTTGACCAGAAGAAAAGTGTACCTTGGACCCAATAAGAGGAAAATATGTAGAGCATATGACATATGACATTCCAGAGAAAATAAAATAAAGCTGAGGAGGATAATACTAGGTAATAGCTGGTAGGAAGTGGGTGGCTTACAAGTCCGAGATAAATGAGCAAAGAAAGCAAAGGAAGTTAAACCAGAACAAAAGAGATGAGGTGTACAAAAGGAGAGACGGGGACTACGACGTCCCTCCTCCCTGTGCCGCCGGCGATTTCGGCTCTAACCCCGTCGACCCCGACGCTGCACCAGTTGCAAACACCGACTTCGGCGCAGTAGGTACATGCAGCCCAGCCATAGTCGCGCTCTTCTGATTCTGCATACTCGCCCTCTTCTGCTTCTTCAACACATTCCTTCCACCACTCCCATTCCCACCAGTCTCACGCGACCCAGAAGTCGACGTTGGCTCTCGCCCCTCGCGATGTCTATGCTCTTGCTCACGAGCGCGATCCTGTTCATGTCGTTTGTCTCGTGTCGTTGTCGAACGATCCCGAGTAAGGTCTTTATCTTTCCGACTACTTCGTTCTGTTCGTGTAGGTAACGTTCGACTCCGTGACACAGTTACAGCTGCCGTCCCGCTCTGTCCAGCGGGAGACGTCGTCGCAGATTCAGCGCTTGCCATTCGAATGTGAGACCCTGCTGTTGCTGCGGCTGCGGCTTCACCAGACGACGCAGCACTCGAACTCCGTCTCCTCCCACTCTTACTTATCCTTCTCCTAGGCGGCGAACTCGCTTGCCCTTGCCCATGATCCGTACTACTCCCCCCACTTCCACCTTTCTCAACTAACCGCCACCCAATCTCACTCGGCGACACCATCGAAACAATCGTCGGATGCGGTGACCCACTTCGATCTTCATCCGCTATTGGCGACAATCCCTGAGGTACTTGCGAGTTAGAGCTATTTTGATTTAATGGTGACTTTGGTGGAGGTGGAGGTGGAGGTACGTCTAGCATGAACCAATCTTGGTGTTCGATGAGGAACTCAAGTACTTCTTGACTGAGAGCGTGCTCTTTATGTGAAAGCTCGTGTGAGGGGTGGTTAATTATCCCAGGTCGGAAAATAATGGCAAGGCCTGTCAAATAAAATTATTCAATACAATTATACTCGTCAGTACAGTATTCGCTAGTTGAGAATGATAATGAGTGTATATGAACGTACTGGAAGCGGTCATGAGATTCTTATCCGACTTGCGAGCGAACACCGACAAAAGGTCAAGTACATAAAGCAACAAATACTGATTTTGTGGAGGCATACTCCGTATTAGCTGCTTGTACGCCTTGATGACCTCATCCGTTGATAGCTTCTTCGCTGGATAAAAGGAATTCAGTATTATTGGACGTGACGAGTCAAGGGACGATTGTGGATCTTACTAAGTGCTTCCCGGAACTACGCAAAAGTAATATCATTAAGAAACAAGCTATATAGATTATGGGGAAGAGACGCACTTTGCCGTATAAGTTGTAAGGTATAACAGGTTCCGGCATTTGCGTAAGGTATCGCCGGAAGACACTCGCAACGTCATGCGGCGTATAATTCTCCTTCTTCCAGTCTAAGTTTTTCCCATACTACAAGATTACCAGCAGTGTAATCGATATTTATCTCTAAATCAATAATGGATGTAATAACGCACTTTAGGTGGCGTCTCAAAGAGCGCTTGCAGGTCGCGCATGCGCTTATTCGAACCGCTCACGCGGAATGTACCCTCTACCTCCGTCGCTACACGCGGTTGATGAAACATGAGAAACGAATGCACATGCACAAGAAATACGCGAACGCACCATTTTCCTTGAGATATAACCCACTGCACATCGCGTTCACACGGCACCATTCCATTAAGCAATCAGCCTGCGTTCGCCAATCACGATAATATATACTTACCATTTTGCGACGACAACAGGAATATCACCCCACACGTACAGTTCGCCATTTGAGTTAGCTGTTGATATCTGTACGGCAGCATACTTGAGGCTCTCGTGTAATGGTGCGCCAAAAACAGGATGAGGACCGTCGTCTGTCCCGGATCAAGATAAAGTCAGTACTTCGTCATTCACAAGATGCGAAGAAGAAGGAACGGGGCCGAACAGAAGCAACGCGTCAAGAACCGAGGAGTTTGACAGGGAAGTATGGAAGAACAGAACACATGTGAGGGATAACTAGAGGGCAAGACGAGCACAACTTTAGCACCCCTGACTCACCTTTTACACTGGTATACCCATACCCATATCCAGGCTGAAGCTCCTTCTGACCCACAGCACCAGGAATACCCTTCGTCCGCTTAAACTGGCTCCACCACGACTTGAGACTCGCGAGAGGCGGAGGTGGGGGAGAAGCGGCACCATCTCTAGGAAGGTCAGTACCAGAGCCAGAATGCGGCACATGCGTGGCGTGAATCATCTTAAAGCCTACTACTGCGTCCGTGGTGATATCACTTGTTTGAGGAGGTGCGGAAGAGGAAGCAGGAATGACGGGAGCAGGAAGGGCGGGGGCGAGCACGTCCTGGCGGCGCGTAATCGGTAGCTGTTGGGAAAAGCGTCGGCGATGACGCTTGTTCTGGGCGTCTGATGGCGGAGTGCGAACAGGCGAAGGATCTCGGTCGTGTCCCTGATCACACTGCTGCTGCTGATTGACAGATTCTGGTTCTGCAGGGTAGCTAAAGCTAGTCGCTCGAGTACGCTTACCACGGAAAGCGACGGCAGCGAGAAGAGCAAAGGGACGGTGGCGACGGGACGAGGAAGACGCTGACGGGCCCGGTTGCGGTTGCGAGGACAGCGCCAGAGTGAAATAATAAGACGGGTGCTTGCGTAGCGACGGAACGGGGATATGGATAGCAAGCAGTTGAGTTTGGACGGAATATCAATAAACCCTCGGCAGGAGCACGGGTACGGCAGATGGTTATCGCGATCTGTCTCGCAACACAAATAGAGCAGAGTCAAAAATGAGTCCGTCGACAGACAGGCGGGTTGAGGCTGCTATGACCAGCGGTTTGCGCGAGTTGCATCCGACGTGTGCGAGACAGAGAGAGACAGCGAGAGCGGTGCCAGGCTGAACTGGTCCTTAGGCGGCACAGCAAACCGACTTGTAAGTATTTACGTCCGTTTGCGTATGCACGTCACAGCCTCAGCAACTTCCGCTCTTCCTCGTCAGGAGTACTCTAGCAGATAGTCAGCGGTGTCCAGGCAACGAGACAGATCGAGGGAGAGGAAAACGAGGCGTCAATTCAAACAAAACACGCGCCTGCGAGAATCGGCGTATTTGGCCTTGTTACTAGAATATCACTCAGAACCTAATCATTCGACTCATATCTCAACATATCGTGTGTGTAAAATAAAATAGTCTCAGACAGCGGAAGATACAAGCCGTGCGGGAACCAATCATACATCAGAATCTGTTGCCACCAATATTAATCCTCTGAGTCACTGTGACTAAGAGCCTTCAACGTTCACACTCTACTTTATCTTCTTCTGTTTGGTTCTGTTTACCGCGTGCATATTCTTTCAATATCAAACATAGCCCTAAGGCGAAAAATGGCCGGCTCATAGAATATCTGTCCATCTGAGTAATATACATCAAACAAAAGTATACACAATACGACACTACACATTCCCACTCATAACTTCATACAGCCCTCCATCCTGGACTGTCCGTTTCGCAAGTTTCTCACTCCAAAACTCCATCACAGGAGACCACTCTTCACGCGACGCAGGCATACTCTCACCTGGACCCAGCTTCTTCTCGCGTACACCGCCAAAAAACTTCCGCAACGCCGCAAGCTGCGTCCCAGCCGCATCAAACGCAAGCGCGCTCGGCGCCTCGCGATGCAGAATAAGCGCAGGTGTCTTGCAAGGCGTCGAGATCGCATGATGCAATAACAACGGACCACCGACGCTAACTACACTCCCAAGTGTCGCTTTCCTGTCTGATTCCGCCTCTGTCTCGGAGACAAAGCGGGGTCGGGATTTCCATATTTCGAGACATGTCTCGAGTGCGACGGAACCTCCTTGTGCGAATCCGAAAAGGTGAATTTGATTTGGCGTCCATGAACAGGAAGAGGTGAGGTGTGAGATTACGGAGGAGAGGAGGGAGACGCCTGGTTTTGGAACTGGATGCACGATTGGTTGGCCGAGCTCGTCGAATGAGGGGTACCATTGGTATGCTTCCTCATATAAATATGGTATCCTGCGCAATCATTTAAAGATAAGAAACATAAATAAGTTTCTTAGAGTTTATCGGCTCGTACTGTTCTGGTGCTCGCAACGCTAACGTTGCGGTCTGCGGGAGGCGCAATTGACGGCCAAGCTTGCCAAATGGTTGATGTGTATCCCCTGCGCAGTTCATACAAATTAATACAATAAGAAAACTTATGCGTGCACTACTGAAGAGAGAACATACCAAGTCCATGCAACAGAATCAACAAATTCTCGTCCGTCCCATCATCACTCGGCGCATAATCAAACGGTACGGGTATCGTCTCCTTGGACGGAGCAGGCTTCACACGAGGTGCAGCACTCCCTGAAGAACTTGTGCTTCCTCGTATATGCAACTCCCTTACTACGGGACGCCCTGCACTTGACTCTGCAGTAGACATGGTTCAATTAAAGCATTAGAGCTGTAAAGCAGTTGAACGTTGACGTGATGGGATGATCAGTTTGATCGTCGATCATTCATTATCCAAATGCGGGAAAATACAGGAGAAATAAATTCATGCTGCTCAAACTCAGGAAAAACTTTACAGTGGCCAGCTATGAGCGGCCTCATTTCATGCGTCTCCTGGTATACATCTTCATAAATAACTCGCATAAATATCTCACTGACTGATGGAATCCTGCGCAGGGTGAAACGAGGCGTCGCAGCGCAGCATCCACAAAAATACAACCTCGACGAACGCGAGCTCGAGCGGGTGAGCAAGCTTGCACGCATAGAGATCGAAGATGCACGACAGGAGCTCGAACGTGCACACGAAGCGGCAAAACTGATGGGCCGTGGAGCTGAAGGTGCAGAGGCGGATGATCGGGGCGGTGAAGATGAGGACGAGTGGGTCGAGTACGTATTTCTTTACTTACTAAATCAACATGCATATGAGACGTACGCTGATAATTTGGGAAGCGAGGACGAACAAATGGATGTCGAAGATCTTGAAACGAAAAACAAGAATGACGAAGATGATCTTGCAAAGTATAATCTGGACGAGTACGACAAGGAGTCGAAGTCCATAGCTGCGGGTCCGTTTAGCAATATCAAAGGGCTAGTGTACTACAAGGATAACGATGAAGATCCATACATAACTCTAAACGAGGTGATGATCTCTGCATCTTAACTTGCGTAGAAGCTTATTGAGTATTGGTACAGGATGACGAAGAGATAGAACGCGAAGAACTCGAGGTACTTCCAACAGACAACCTGCTCGTAGCAGCGAAGACAGAAGACGAAATTTCACAGCTCGAAGTGTACGTATACGACGAGACTCAAGAAAACCTATACGTCCATCACGACATCATGCTCCCCGCATTCCCACTCTGCCTCGAGTGGCTCGACTTCCCTCCCGCTGGACGGCCTTCATCCACCACCTCCGCCTCCATTCCAAATAACAACAACATATCCAACAAAGCCTCAGAAATGGCCATCGACTTAGACAACAATCCTTCACCGTCAAAACAATTCGGGAACTACATAGCCGTCGGTACCTTCGACCCCGAAATCGAAATCTGGTCCCTCGACACAGTCGACGCACTCTACCCAGACAGCATGCTCGGTCGACCAGACATCACATCCGCACACGTCCCCACCCCACTCGGCACAGGCAAGAAAAAACGCAAGAAACAGAAACACCGACCGACGAGTACGGCGCACCACGTTGACGCTGTACTCTCCCTCGCGTGGAACCGCGCGCATCGGAACTTACTTGCGAGTGCGAGTGCGGATCGGACGGTGAAGCTTTGGGATTTGTCGCGTGAACCTAGTGCCACTGGGGACGGTGGGGGAGCGATTAGGAGTTTTGACGTACATAAGGATAAGGTACAGACTGTGCAGTGGAATGAGAAGGAACCTACGGTGTTATTGACGGGGAGTTACGATCGGACCGTACGTACGTTTGATACAAGGGCACCGACGGCGGGTGTAGGCGCTGTGGTTGGTGCCGACGTGGAAGCAGTCCGATGGGATCCTTGGGAATCTACCGCGTTCTACGTAAGGTTTCCAGTACTCGTATCTTCATGTCGCACTGAATCCAATAACGTATAATATGCACTATAGGTCTCCTTAGAAAATGGAATAGTACTCAATTTCGACGCTCGCGTACTGCCATCCGACTTAACTCAACCTTCACCCTCCCGCTTCATGCTCGCAGCACACAATGGCGCCGCATCCGCACTCGACGTAAACCCGCACATACGAGGATGCATTGTCACAGGTGGTACAGACAAAATGGTCAAAGTTTGGAACATTAATGACAAGGATAATGGGAAGAAAGACGTCAGCCTCGTCACGTCTCACGACCTCGGAGTGGTCAGTCTCTTCCCATATTCCTTATTCACTGAACTTAGCTAAAACGGAGGACTGTCTTTGTTTTCTTTAGGGCAAAGTCTTCTCAGCAACGTTCTCACCAGATGATCCTCTTACAATCGCTGCAGCAGGTTCAAAGGCAAAACTACAAATCTGGGATGTTGGTGCAAACGTTGGTGCACGTAAGGCATTTGCACAGAAGCTCAAAGAGGCAGGTCGTGAGGTTCGTCAGAAAGAAGGCGGGGGTGTTGTTGGTGTTGTCAGCGATGATGAAGAGGTCAGCGGAGACGAAGATGAATAAAGAAGAAGAGCTCCACCCAATCTTGTTGACGTTGTTCTAATGGTTTCTCATTGTGACTTCCCCAGTATTCCTAATAGATAAGATGTTCTCAATACAACAGGACCATTACTCAAAGACCAATGAAAATGGGGAGTGAGTGTGTAACAATGCACAGCAGCTGAACAGCAAAACAACGGAGAATTACATGAAGTCATTCGGATCGTTCCCAAAGTCATCCAACACTTCTTCGTAAGCATTTGTATCAAACCTTCAACGATTGGGTTAGCAAAGATCATGAGAGAAGAAAAAACAAGGTCAGCAACATACTTCGTGGCAGCTTTCGCCGAACCGAGAGTAGGCTTTGCCGCCGCCTTCGTTTTCTTTTTCCCAGTTGCTTTTTCACGCTGCTCCTTCTGCTTTTCGTTTGCTAATGCCGTTAGAGTACTTGCAGCCTTTCGCACCTCGACGTCCTTAAGTGGCTGAGCAAGTTCCCGAACATGGTGCTCAACGAACGCAGCATATAACGGCTTGTTCTGATGTCGTTTGATAATGTACTCTACGATGCGGTGTGAGAGATCTTGGAAATCTTCCTTCGTACGTGGTTCGAATGAGATGAGCTTGTCAAGTTCCTTGTCGGATGTCCCTACGGGTGTATTTTAATACTTTATAAGATAGAAGACGAGAGAACAACCCGCATACCACCAAGCGCAGTAGCTCCGAATAAATCCGCTGCATTACTCAAGTCCGCCTTTAGTTCTAATTCTCTGTCTCGCCGTGCCTTCTCCCGCGGATCGAGTACATCGTCTTCGTCATACACTTCATCACCGCTCTCAACCTTTCGAGCGGCTTTTAGTGCCTCTTTCTCTGCAATCTTCTGCTTGATCGTCCCTTTCTTCTTCGCTGGAGGAGGTGGAGCGGCAGCAGATTTAGGTTTCTCCTCTTCCTCTTCTGACTCTTCCCAGTCAGACTACACGCAGTACACGACGAGTATATGCACAGTTCAGGACGTCAGCAACAGGCATCATGTAGATCGTGACGAGGTGCGACATACGGCTACATCATTATCATCTTCATCCTCGCCTTCCCACTTGGTTTTCTTTGGGGCGGGCTTAACGGGCACAGACCTGTTTGGGGCAGAGGGCGCGACGTGCGTGTCACTGTCGGATGCGTCTGTGTATTGCTCGTCAGACCAGCGATTACAAGGCAGCTGTAGTCGTACACACCCCAGTCAGACATTTTATGTGTTGATTTTCGCAGATGTTATCGAGCCAGGACCTGAGGAGGGAAGAGGATGAGCATACACTCAGGTAAGAAGTTAAGGTGAAGAGGCAGTGGCGAAGACCAAAATTAAATGGCTGTTTTCCCAGAATGGAAAGCACTTCTCATTACATAATAATAAAACACTTTGGACCCTGACGGAATATTTATTCATTATCGAACAAGCATTGGCAATGAACGTGCAAGTCCAGCAGCTGCTCAAGGCTGCCTTTCCTCTGGCAAGGTCATATGGCTTCACGCGTCAAGCTCTTTCTCAGGCGGCTCTTTTACTCCCCAAACCTCACTCCGAACCTCTGCCAGATACTGCTGTCACTGCACTCTTTGGTTCCGGAGATGATGCGCCCCGGACCTTCTTTAAAGCATGGCTTGCAGAGGGACGGAATAATATGGAAGAGAGCGAAGGAAAATCGATTAATGGCCTGCTAAAGCACCGACTACGCTGGAACGAGCCGGTGCTGCAATCCCTTCCGGAGGTGCGCTACCTTAACACTCCAATTCCGTACTGTGTGACTAACAATACAGTACTCGAGACATTCGCATTAATGGCATCGCCTTCATTAGCTATTCCCCCTTTTGATGTACGCCCGGCCGTAGAGCATGTGGCATCCATTGCGGACCAAGCATGCTACCTCTCTGGAGACAAGAGTACCGAGGTAGAGGTCTAGTTGTTCTCGTGATGACTTAGTTTAATCGGGCTTTATCAGAACTCCTGGTATGCAAAGCGGGCAGTGCTCGCAGCTGCGTACGGTGCTGCAGGTTCGTGTTGAACGAGCCACACGCGTATTTATTCAGCTGACATTATTCATAAAGAACTGCATCAACTCAGCTCTCCCAGCACTGCAGCTGAATTTCTTGACGATTTATTGAAATCGTCACGGGAAGCAGAATTCGCACTTCAGAGTACAGCTCAGTTTGCACAATTCGTGGGCAGGAGTTGGGCTGGCATTTACCGGAGCCTGCGTCTTCGTTGACAAGTACGCAGTTAGTCGTGAGTGCGCGGTCTGCACTATTTCCCTATTATGAAACTCATAAAAATTTAGCTTACTTTAATAATGAATTTTTTTTACCCTTCCTTGATAATTACAATGACGTTTTCGGAATAAGTCTTTCGGGTCACGGGGTTTTGCTGGAAAACAAGTCATTTTGCTGTAGTTGACATTTTATTTTGGCCTGGACTAGCGCCCGATATTTTCATCTTAGGCCTGACACACATTTTAGCGCTCGCCGTAAACAAGACATGAATGCGTCTCAGACCAATTGCCTGACTCTTCGTCAGCCTCTAAGTCCGCCATGTACTTAAGAACCTGTCCTTGTCGCACTTTTTCTGTCAACCAAGAGTCCCCGTCCCAACTACACGAAGAACGATCCACAACGATGGCACCCTCTTTCTTCGAAACCTCCTCTCCTTCGCTTCTTACAGCGTCTGCTGTTCCTCATTCTGCTGTAGCTTCTGGATCTCATCAACCAACGCTCGCAGTTGTCTTGGGTCTCGTCGGTGTCCTATGCTTGATTACTGTTGTCGCAGGTGTTTGCATCTACATCTTCCGTGGACGTCTCTTCTCTCCGGCCGCTCCCATTAATGACGAGGAGAACACTCAGTCTCAGGAGAAGAACGACATGAAGATGTCCGAGACGTCGAGCTGCCTGAGCGACGAAGATGAAACGCTCGCGAACATCAAGCCTAAGGAGTCAGACACACAGGGCACTGTTTTGCGCCCATTTTTGCTGAGTATTGATAAGCCGACTGGATCTCAATACAAGGAGCTCCGCTTGCCGACGCTGCAGAGAACTCGAACAGACCCTGTCCGTTGCCACTCCAAGGCAATACTGAAGCATAATAGCATGCCATATGACCCGATTAGCCGCGATGTCGGAGCGCCGTCTACTGGGAACATAGCTTGTTCAGTACTGCTCAGGGCCTCGCAAAGCTGCCCTGCGGTCATTGAGCTTATCAAGGTGCGGGTGTATATATGTAGCCGGTATTCGATTACTGAAGGCTTTCCCAGATCAATTTGAATGTTCCCGCAACATCTACAGCTATAGAGGAACACTACGAGTCCACTCCAATGCCGCTTGAGCTTACCGAGAAGCCCTCCCAACCGCTTTCCTCTCTTCCTTCTTCCGATGTGAGTCTAAGCGTTCATACTACTGGACTCTATGCCTTACATCTTCTACAGTCGTCGGACAGCGTCTACAGTCAAAGTAGCTGCTCCTCTACTCCGTCTTCTCCATTCTTCTGGGATGACTATCTCAACAACATGCCGGATGATCTCTTCTACAAGCCAGAACCTGAGCCGATGCCATCTCCGAGTGCTTCTCCTGCCGAATCTCAAGCCGAAACCCTTTGTGCGCCAGTTGAGGACTCAGTTGAAACGAAGGTTGACGCTGAGGAGCTGGAGCTGCAGAAGCCATCCGAGATTACTCCAGAACCGCATATCGAAATCCAAGTTACGTCCTTTGTCAAGACGGCGACTGACGACAAGAAAAAACGCACCACCAGTCTCAAACGTTCTTCTGTCATTTCGAACCGTAAGCGAACGTCGCTGATTCGCGTCCGGTCCCGATCTCGCAGGGGCAAGCTACAATCCGCGATGCACTACGTCAAACGACGTGGTTCGAACTTTCGTACCAGTCATTATCAGAAGCGTGCCAGCATCACCGACCCATTTCTTATCCCTGCTTTCGGTGAGGCCGAGCAATCCTTGTCAACATCGTCTGATTCCTCAAGGCCGACGTTCAAGCTCAACGACGAACCCGCAGACGACAGTGTCTTCAAAACACCTCCACGCTTCTTCAACCGTCTCACAAGTCCTACACGCAACCCAACACTGCTCAACACTCGCTGGAAACCTCGTCCCGTCATCCCTCCATTGACCATCACAGTCTTCTCAAGAGACCGCTCCGCAAACGCGACGAAGTACCCAGGACGTAGGTTTACGATCTCTCCTCCTGCTGGTACGACTCTCGCCGAGTTCCGTAGAACCGTTGAGCGTACGCTGGGACTTGAAGTGAGGGCACTGCGTGGAATGGTGTTCATTGGGAAGAGATCGATGTTCCTGCCGTTGCTGACGGAACGGTTCTATGTCCAGTGGGCGAAGGAACGTATGCGTGAGGGTGGAATTGGAGTTGTTGAGGCTTGGCATACCGGCATACCATTATCTGCGCCGTTTGGTCTCACCTCTTGATACGTCTTCTCCGAATGAGATTTGGATGCAATCTCTCTCCGTTCTTTCATCGGCACAAGCTGTCTCTCGATGTCATCAAGTTGTCACACTTCGGACGTTTGGGCCGATTCTCTTCGTTCTCTAAACCTTGGTTACTCGAAGTCGAATATCGAAACTTAGATGCTACCTCATCTCGTCGTATCATCGACACAAAACAAACTTTCCTTCGGATCTCTCGATGTCATCAAGTCGTCACACTTCGAACTTTCAAACCGATTCTCCCCGTTCTTTAAATTCCGGTTCCTCCAAATGAATACTTCCACAATATCTAGTTGCCATCAAGTTACCGTGCTTCCCTTCGAACTTTTCAACCCCTACTCTCCTTGTCCTTTAATATCCGATTTCTCTAGAGTGAATACCTCCAGTCGCCTATCTTCGCTTCGATAATCGCAGTTATACGATCTGCTTGAACCTATCCATTCCTTTCCTTTATATTATGACTATATTATGACTGCTACTCTAGTGTTTGTATGTCCTCCCTCGCAATTTTCTACTTTTACAATAGATTTCTCTTCGATGTATTGTCTATACTCTTTTCGTTGTCTTTGTATCTCTTGGGTTTATGTCGATTCGCTGTATCTATCTGTGATGTCCTTTCCGGACCTTGATTTGCATTCATGCTTAGCGTGAGCGTCTCTCAGCGTTAACTATATGCTGTACTGTCAACAGTATGTAATGGTATTAAACGTATTGTGAAAGAATAACGGTTGGAAGCAAATGCACTTTGCTTCTTTTGCTTCAGTAAGAATACCCAACTAATGCTACCAGCAGTACATTGGTGGTCTTTCTGCATCCCTTTTTGCTTTCCCAGAGTCGCAAATACATTGGTGAGTGAGTTATACATCTCTCCAGTGTATAACTAAGAAGTTTTGTTCTTGCAAATTCTAGAACTGTGAACTGTCTGTCTTTGTGCTTCCTATCAATGGTTTAGATAAAGCTAAGATTATTAGCGTCATTTTTACACGTAAATATACTTGCAGCTGTACTATATTCGTTAGCAACATTGCTGCTGAATGTAGGAGTTCCATACACGCATTCACACTCAGGATTGCATTTGTGTTTCTCCATCCGTAATGTAGTCTAAACCAGTCTGCAAAGTACATTCTTTCACAATAAAAAGGCTGCATGTGGTTACACTTGTGTCCTTTCCCTTGCTTTCTAGACTTGCACCCTTATTAAGCATTCAGACAACACAGAGGTACTAGTACTTTGGTAGAAAGATCTCAATAACTTGAATGCAGCGAGCACGATTAAATCAAATCAATTCTAATATTAGGCGAATACAGCAGAAGTCGAGTGTTGATCGAGCTGAACTCCAAGAAGTGTTCAATGGTGCTGCAGAAAGTATGATTTATACTATATCTAATACTTGCTGAATTTTAAAGTAACATACTGTCATTGATGTTTTACCTTTCAGTATTTCAGGTTTTCGGTCTTATTTTAGAGGTCAATTATGGAGAGAAAGGGCAGCAGGAGAACCCAGACTTGGTTGATCTTGAGCTAAGAGATCCCAGAGGGAATCCTGGGATACTCAGACATGAAGAAGGATTGAAACCTAGGGCCGCTGTGGAGATCATTCGCGAGAGTCTTTCTACTTTGTTCACGGGTACTTAGTTACTGTCTCAGTCTGTCTCTCATGGTGGCTACTGAGTGCCAAAGAAAAGTTACTATTAATTTTGATTGCTTGAAGTGCAAAGGCAGTTGCTGTAAATCAGAGGCCTGACACAGAGGATCAAAAGCCAGAACAGATAAGGTCTTGACCATTTGCCTCAATTCCACCGATCCTAGAAAGCATACTGCTTTGTTGACAGTGAGAAGTTAAGAATGGTGTGAAGAGAGAAAGGAGGCACCTTTGCTCTGCAAGTTCGACTATGTATGCAATGTTCCGAATCTCCTTAGTCATTTAGTAGGACAGTATCACAACTTGGCCACGCCTGAAACCAATGGTTCTGGTATCTTAATGCAAGGAGAGATACTAGTATGCTATTGGTAAAATGTATGAATTATTTGGAGTTTTTGCATTGTGCTATTACTTGGGGATAGTATCTATTCCACAATCGGCAAACATGGCATTGCAGAGATACAGAAGAGTTAGGTAGTAGTGAAGTTCCAAGTTTGCACGACTTGTGCAGAGATACCCTTTGCATGCTGCACAACTCAACTCGCGCTCAAGCAAGCAGGATCTTTTGTATGTCTAGAGATTGAGTGTTGAGGTGTTGTCAATATTGTTGATGATTCCCGTCTCTGTGTGCTTTCAGAACGTATTAAGGTAATATCGGCATACATATAAATAAATACTTGGTCGTCATGCTTCTGAACGGAAATGAATATTACGACAAGCACCATGGTTCCGTCACATCTTTAAGAGCACCAATCAACACCAGAGCGTTCTCAAGTACTAGAGGTGATGTGGACTTAGGTGGGGATGTGGCGCCTCTATCTACTAAGTTTTGGACCCATTTTACGTCCGCAAGAGTATTCAATTCAAATTCATGATTGTTCAATGTCATAAGGGAGGCTAAAATACATCAAATCCCGTATCGTACGACCATATTAGTGATGTGCCGAGTACTTCTTGAGGTTGCCACTAGCATACTTTCTACTTGGAGAAATGTTTTGCGGAGTTATATTTACATCCGTTATGTTAATCTTTCAATCTTTTGCAAATGCCTCATTCACATCTGCATGACGTACAAATGTGAAACATCCCGTGTTAGTGATGGTACTAACGGATGACCATGGAGCACTGATTCTGACCAGATAGGAACAAGGAATTATGTACTAAGGCTTTGATTTGCTGATTAGGAAATGAAGCCACAGCTACTAATGACGAAATTCCTTGACAGTTGTGTATTCTGGACTTATCCGCCAGGGCATTGAGGGTCTGCAAAGTAAAGTATTTAAGGAGGACGAAATTGACATGATTTTTTCATCTTCAATACACAGAACACAGAGCACCTTCGAGAGTATTTTCTATCCACAAGATGTCAAAGCAAGAGAACATGATGAAAGTTATGCAGTACGGGGAGTCGCATGGGACTGCTCAACAGCGACAAGATCACCACAAAAGGATTGATAGAATGAAGCACATTAGTATGTATAGAATTTGACACTTTACAAAAAGCACCACGGCTCACTTGCTCGATATGCGACAGGTTTTGCCAATCTCGATATCTCACAGTTCGATCTTGACGAAGGCAGCGAGACAGTCACTTATAAAGTTGAATATGACGGTGTCACGTACTATGGGGAAAATAAAAGTATTGCTTCTGCCTATAGTGATCTGACAAGGTTGATGGATGCTTATTTGCTTGCTGAGGGCCGGAAACTCCGTGGTTGATATTATTATAAAGATAGAATTGCCCCTGTATGGGCGAATAACTGAAGAATACAGTGTTAGAGTATGTGAAGAGAGAATATGAATGTTAATACTATACCGCACTTTGGTACAATATTCCGATTGATTATTCTGTGCGACTGCCAGCGTAAGTATAGCGCGCTAACTTCCTGTTCCCGTCAGGACAGGGCCGTGGACACAGCTTAATTCGAAGAGTCGCGAGAGAAATGTGTCTATTGGTATGTGAATTAGTGTAAAAATCAATCTATTTCTTTGAGCGTATATGGATCATTTTGCGAGTGTCATGAAATTAATAAGTAAGGTACGGGCTATGAATGCTGGTAAAGCATGGAGCATAATCAGCAGCTTAAAGTACATGCAGGAAACCTATAAGTATAAGGCTGCTGCCAAGCGAAGTGTTTGTGTGGCTCTGTTTTCAGGTGTTTGTTCCTTCCACATCTCGCGTCGATCGCGAATGACTGTAAACCAAGCCGTTTTCTTCTAACAACCACAATGGCCGATAATCAAGCACGCTCCTCAAAGAAACGCTTTCGTTCAGTAAGTTCAGTGACACATGTGACGTTCAACGACTTATTACTCATTTAGTAGGATGGCACGTCAATCTGGACACGCCCCAAAATCGATGGTCCTGGTGTTTGGATAACTTGTGTCAAAGGCAAGGAGAGACAGGCTATTGGGGAAACATATGACTTATTTGAGAGGGTGAGTATACACTATATATAAGTTCTGGTGACTTCTGTATCTCTAAGTCGTTAAAAGCTTGTGGAAGAACTGTGGCCTCCTGCTGAAGATCCTATCGTCAATGGTGATGATGTCAACGAAAGCGACGAAGAAGACCTTGAGAAAGCCATATCCAAGGAAGTTCAGAACATGAAACGACCACGAAAAGAAAAACTGTTCGGTAAGTGTACTAGTCAAATTCCTTGTAAGTCTCAAATAAGCTGAATATTGGACAGCTGCTTGTCAAACAAATACGCCTTGTTGTACGTTTCGTCTCAGCACACTATTCCATGTGCGTTACTGAACACATCGTAAAGTGGTGTTTATCTCGTGCAAATCTCCTGTGGACCCTGTATCTCTTATAGCACTGCATATGAAAAGAGTCGATGAAACAGGAATTACACATACTAGGTACATATATGCACAATTCAGGACCACTTGCAGAACTGATTGAATTATTGCTTGTTGAAGGAGTACACATCGCTTTACCCCTATTTCAAGCTCCTGCGACACTAATCTTCCGGAAATTATCTCATTATGCAAGCGCGTCGTTCTACCCGTCTTTGAACGAGAAGAAAAGAGGTCCTCTCGAGTTCGTCCTTTCAAACACTTCACGAAATATTCACTTTGAACTTACCGTTTTATTTGGTGTTTGGCATCATCGTCGATTGCACAGTACAAACTCGAAGTTAGAATGCGTTACCACAACACCCTTACACGGGACGAAGTCATCAAAGTGATCGCACAATGTATCCCCGAAGAACACAAGGTCGACCTTGAGAATCCTGATTTATTCATTTTGGTTGAGATTTTCAAGGCGAGTCGTTCTCGTCCCTCCCCTGTCTTCCAAAGGACTCTACATTTTTATTATTACCTGACACGACCTGTCTTATTCTTAGGCGACTTTTGGAGTCAGTGTCGTCAAAGATTACTATCGATACAAAAAGTTCAACGTGGTCGAGGTGTCCCAGGCGAAACTTGCAAGAGTCGATGACACTGAGGGGTAAACTTTAGCATATAGCCGGGGCATACAAATATCATGATTGTATAGTGATGGGTATAGGTTACACTGTGTACACATGTCGATTACTGGACTACATTACGAGCTGGAACTTGTCCGTGAAAAACTCTATGTATCAAAACCAATTATCCGTTTCCGAACCTGAAGCCAAGATGGATGCCAACCTGCCGTAGGCATCTAATAGAATAGCGAATCTAAAATACAAAAATAGAGAATGTTTGGGTCCGTTCGCATCTAAGTCGCCCTCTACTCTACTTCCGCTTCTACTCCTTCACCTCTGCAGCACATCACTTCCGCATCTTGCCACTCCCGTACCCAAGCCACCAGTTCCCTAGCCATATTCATACCCTGCTTCTTCCTCACACCGTCATCACCGACAGCTCTCTTCCGCTTCTTTAACTCCTTCCCGGCCTCCCACGCCTCCTTAACCGCATCCGCCCAATCACCCGCTTCATACCGTTCGCAAGAGAGCTCAACACCCGCGCCTTCTTCTTGCAACAACCGCCTCAGTCCATGTTCCTCAACGAACAACGGACGCGGAACGAAGACGAACGGTGTACACGCGTCGACACATTCGGCTGTTGTTCCGTACCCTAGCTTGCCGAGTAAGACGTCTGCGAGTGCGGTTAAGTCCGGCATGTAGACGTCTTGTGGGGCGATGAAGAAATTTTTCGGTAGTTCGTCGTTGTCATTATCGTTGTCTCGTCCTCCGCCTGTGCAAGTCTTGGAGGAAGTGGCAGTTCCGCCACAGACTATCGCGACCCAGGAGTTGTCTGGTAAGAACCTTTGAAGTTGAACGGATTCTGAAACCTCCGAATCAGAGTAATCTGAACCCGAATCCAGCAGAGGCGTGCCCATTACGGAATCATAGTCTGAATCATTATCGTCTGCAAGCGTTTCGAGCCTGGGAAAGCTAGAAACGGTAGGCGTCTTGTTCGCAGGCGGCGCACCGGGCACCCAGATATGAGATTCTGTAGCGATTGGCGACACGACATGGACGAACGGTTCTTTCTCTTTACGCTTTTCTCGTGTGTTTCTGGCGTGTACGGCAGAATGATGGTAATAATGGTTTGCGTGTGCATTCGAAGCGCTTCCATTCGAGCTGAGAGACTCTGTTGATGGGGTATGCGAGATGCCAACGCTTCCGGAGTGCGTATCCGTTGGACTATGACTCCTTGACGGTGTGTGACTATGCGGCCGTCGGAAAACCTGTCCGCCAAAGCTCACTACAAGAATCTTCGTCTCTGGTGTCTGCAAATGCTCGGGTACGCCAAGAGTATCAAGTAAGCGTTTGCGTCCGATAGGGGTATAGATGTCTTCGGAAGGATGTCGAACGATGAGAGGCGCTTGCACCACTCTACGTGGCAGAGATTTACATACACCAGAAGTTTGTTTCGATGGGAACGGGGTAGAGGGATGTAAATCCTCGGATGACGGAAGTTGGGATAAAGAAGCCAAGACGTCCGGTAGGAATCTATTCCGCTCTGGTTCAGTCCACAAATAAGATGGGAGAGTCGGTTCGATGCAAAACGAGGGCATTGGGATATTTCCCGGTAATCGCAGGAGAAGCTCGGCACAACGATAGCCGTCGAGTAGTTCTCTCACAAGCGGAGCCAGCTCTTCTGGAGGAATCGGGTCGTCGTTCAATAGTGATAGCTTAGAATCGAAAGACTCGGCCGGGATTTTCGGATTCAACGGTGAACCCTCAGGGAAACGAATGGAGAGATAGCTGTATACAGAGTCGAATGTGAAGTTTGTGATAAGGACAGACGGTATTCGAGCAACATTGGCTGCTTTGCTGGTGCAAATGGTTAGAAGTGCGAAAATACAGTATTGCATATACTCACCAAGCGAGAAAGGCTGCATCGCTAAGCACACAGTCGATGGCATTATCCTTCAGCCAAGTAACTTCCTCGGCAATTTTACGCTCTTTTTTCTGGAGGAAGGATTTTAGAATTTCAACGCTCTTCCTCCTGTCCACATAATATCTTGACGAACTGGTCAGACCTTTGGACAGGCAATGTAGCACGAGAGAAACATACGCGAGAGGCTGCACGATTACAGGGTCTATCTCGGCATACCGATAGTGCGCGCCACACGAGATTGCCAGGTCAAAGACATGACATGGCGCTGATGATACGATGTGGACTGTTGGTGCATTTTGGAGCTGTCGCAAATGCGCAGCGACTGCAGACACTCGCGTCGCATGCCCATAACCTAGCAATCACATGAGAAGTACTTCACTATGAGCAAAGGGGTAGCACCCTCACCATGACCAGAACAGTAGTACGCGAATGATAGTGGGGACATGTGTGGTTGTAACTGTGAAGAGCGGGAACTCAGCGCAGCATTTCTCCGTTTTATATATTAGTGAGAAGAGATAGCAATAAGCAAAGGCGAGTAAACCGGGCCAGTCTAATTCAAACTCAAAGTGGACCAGATTTGATGGGATCAAAATCTACGTCATTATCTAATTCCGCGCTGATCAGGTCACGTTGTCGCGTTTCATTTGGACGGTGTAACAGTGTCGAGAACGGAGAAGGAACGGACCTTGCTGTCCAGCGAATTGCCTTGTGGCGGGCAGTTCTATTATCGATCTCTCTTAACTTCCAACCACCACCATTGCACCTGAGAGGCTAAGCGCAATGTCCGCAATGAGCTCAGCACTGCAAGCAAGACTGTCCAATAACCTCATGGATCGGCGTTCCCCAAGTCCTTTGTCCACGCCCTCTCCTGCATTATCTTCCAGCCCGACCTCCTTATCTCGACTCTCCTCTGTGGAGCGGCCGTTATCGGCTACTAGATCAGCTTCAGGAATCCCCGTGTTAGATGAGACTGCTCAACTCCAGAGAGCTGTTCACACCGTTGTAAAGAGTAGGACAGGCAGCGTGCTTTCGCGAGGATTCATCTTGAAGACGGATCACTACCCCTCCGGTACGCATATATATTGCGTACGATATATGACATATGCTTACTCTTATATTCAACTCCAGGACGTGCTCTTGACCTTGAACTTAGCGTTCACGGTGCACCTAATTTTCGAGCTCCGAGAACGGGAAATTTGAATGTCTTCGGAACTGCTCAGCCTCGCTCGCAGGGCCTGAGAGCTATTCTCTCGATATTAAGGTGTCGTCCTGGGGTATCTGACCCGCACGACTGTGTCTGGTTCTCGACCCGAGAAGAACCCATAGGTAAGTTCAAACGCAACTCGGTGTTTGAATTACTGTCTAAACCCGACTTAGTGTATATTTCTGGACGTTCATTCGTCCTACGCGATGCTTCCGAGCCTCGGAAAAACTTACCGATGTCCGATAGAGCTGAAAACCTAGAAGACATAGAGAAACGCTTGAAGAATGATATTCTACAAGAATCCGTGAAGTAGGCTGACAACACTTGTTGATATGGCCGTATAACTGATACAAGCCTACAGGTTTGGCGGTCTAATTCTCACACATAACGAAGTGGCCAGTACGTGTAGCAGCAATGAAATTCTCCACTATCTCGATCTGATCCACTTTCCAGCGGACGGTGAAATCGTTCCTACGTGGACCGCAGTGGATACTAATAACGTCAAGACTTCAAGAGAATTATGGGAGTCGATGAAGAATGAAGGTTGGCGTGTTGAAGTTTGTCCTATCATTCCCCGTTATCCATCTGCGATCTATCTTATGATAATATGTGTTTAGTACTATCGGTATGGCTGCACAGACAGACTTCCCGGAAACATGTGAATACTAACTATCTTGGAAACAAGCATACCGATTTCTCCGGATCGACCAATTGAAGTAAGTCAGCGTGAACGAATCGAAAATAGGACCCAGACTAACCGCGTCTTATCAGGATAATTATCTTGACGCATATGTGCGCGTCATTAAGCAAACCGATCCCATCAAGACGTCACTTGTATTTTCATGCGGCATGGGCGCCGTACGAACGACTTTCGCAATGGTGAGCAACTTCCGATCACGTCGCATGTGCATTAGGTTCTGAAGGGTGTCAATATGGCAGGTTGCCGCGCTTCTCGTCCGCCGCAAACAAATTATCGCACGTGGCTTGGAAGATCCTTTCCTGGCGAGAGGATCCACATCGGCCTCCGGGTTCAGTACGGTTAGCTCGATGATACATGTTAAGAACTGCGCAGATGCCAACATTGTCCTATAGCCGACGAATACCCAAGTTGTTATGTCTCTGGAACAGGCAAATGCACAGCAGGAACTGAGCAAATCGCTTCTACGCCTCACAGCTGTGCTACAGCAAAGTCTGTTGATGTAATTTACATACTCCAAGAGGAGAGTACTGACTTTACCTAGGTCTCCAAGGTCAGAATACACTAACTGCTGTTGAGCTGTTGCTTCCACACCCAGCACTCATGGAAAGCCTGCGGAAGGCCTTGACGGGAAACTACAGTGCTATTCTAAGTCTGCTTGGCTGTTTGGATCACGGAACTGCATCAAAGCGCCTGGCAGACCGCGTTATTGACTCATGTACGTGCATGGATTATTTACACTACAATTTAGTCTTCTATATTACCCATTTCTAATCTATCTCACACCTACAACTAAGGCGATCATGTTGTCAATCTTCGCGAGGAGATTCTAACAAACCGCATACGCTATTCACTCACGAGCCTAGATGAGCAAGGGCGTGAGACATACCTTGACAAGGCCGCCAAGGGAATCGAGAAATAGTAGGCTTCGTTTCGGTTAACTCCAAACTGCAGATACTGAAAAAAAATATGCTTGTACTTTGCTTCTTGCCGTCATTCACGCAGTTTCTTTATCATTGCCTTTGCTAACTATGTTGAAGAGACGGGTCTTAATGATTTCAATGAAACCTTTTATGATTGGATGAAGGTTAGTACCTCTTCATTTAGTGCATGGGTTTTGCGAACTGATATGTCGGCCGCGTACGAAGGCTCGTACTGAGATTTGGAAGTGAGTAAATGCGCATGTCAAAGAATCGATATCGTTTGTTTACGCTTCCATCAGTCAAGTGACTTACTTGCGAAAGTCCCGTGGTTCCCGATTGAACGTTTTCGCTCCAGTCCATGACCTCTCGGCGCTGTCGAAGAGTAGGTCGGAAAGGCTTCTTGGAAGGGCTGTCAAGAACGATGTAATGATAGCAGGTGGGCAAGTCCTTGGGGACGAGTATACGGACCATGTCGTGAAGGTATGGTTACACACAGGATATTTATTTATTTATCTGATGTCCTGCCGCAGACTCGCAGTGGAGTGATTCTACGCGAAGGGTGATGCACTTCCTATCGTTTCTTACCTTTACTTGTCTGATTTATAATATCGACTTTAGAACGCTCCTGAAGTCCGACCAATGGCTAAGTGAAGCGCATGACATTATGCAGGGAGTGCGAGGAGCGAGTAACTTCCGGAACATTGCGGGGACCTCGATCTATGCACTCGGTCAACCGAGTACAGATGCTATTGACGAAGTTGTACGCCGAGTGAAAGAGGACTACTCGGATGCGGAGCATATCATATGGATCACCCTTCGTGAAGAGCCTGTTGTCTATATCAATGGTGCTCCTTATTGCTTGCGACGAGAAGGCTTTTCTTTGCGTAACATGAAAGGTAAGCGCTCCTGGGCGTCCTTATATAGCAGCAGCCCTGATCGAAACCGTAGACTACGGTGGCATTTCGGCGTCCCGACTCGAGGTGTTAGAGGAGCGCCTTAGAGAGGATGTCGTTGCAGAGCTTGACAAGTTTGGTGGTCGTCTCCTTTTGCACACCGAGGCTCACGACGGTTCTGTCATTCCAATATGGGAGGACGTCGGGCCAGGTGCGGTCGAGACGCTGAAAGAAATCATGGCGCAGCGTGTGCAAATGGATGACGGGACTCGGCTGGTTTACCGACGCATTCCAATAACGTCGGAACGTCCTCCTGACTTCACGGATTTGAGCGATCTTATGGACGTTGTGACTCGCCTGCATTCATCGAAGACGCCGATCGTATTGAACGACCAGCTTGGAAGGGGGAGGAGTACTGTAGCTTCCGTAAGTGATGCAGTTGAAGCATGATGTTCAACTTGGCTTAGACTAGGATTCCAAGATTATCATTCTACTTATCCAGCAGTGGCTCCAAATGGCACATAGTGATGCCCGATCTCGCGTTCCTCGTTCTCCCTCGACTTTTATGCGCAGATCAAACAGTCTCATCATGGACACTAGCTTTTCTCAGAGCGATCCTAACCGCCAATCATACCAGGTTATCAATAGTAAGGTTTCTGTATTGTTCCTATTGCTAAGCCTCATGCGTGAAAATATCGCCAGATCTCCTCCGTGTCATTCGAAATGGGTTGGTAGTAAAGGAAGCAGTAGATTCCGCGATCGATTCGTGTTCCGAGGCGTTTAACCTACGAGACTCCATCGAGGAAGCACGGATAAATGCCGAGCAGGCGACGAACGATCAACAGAGGAAGATGTATGCGCAGAGGGGTAAGCACGACTTCGTTTTTATCGTTGCACTTGAATCTTCATCGTCTTTAATACAGGTTTGCATAACTTGAGGCGATACTTTGAGCTCATTATCTTCCGGTGGTACCTCTCGACGATAGAGCCAGATACTATCCGGACTGTAGAGTCATTTGAGAGCTTCGTGAAGAACCATCCAGGTCTGTAACGAAGAATCCATGGTTCCCGAACCATCTCATACTGATGCCTTCATACAGTTATCAAGACGTTTGAAAAAGAGTTGCTTGCAGAGGACTTGCAAGCGCTGAAGCCACTCGAACGCGTTGACCTCGCGGAAGGCCTGGCACTTCCAGATGAGGCACGTCAAGTTGTAGTCAACAGAAGGGGGTCAATCCTCTCGGCGTCGACTATCCTCAAAAGCGACTTCTTCTCGAATTTGCAGAAGATGTCGTTACCAGAGTATGTGATTGTTCGTATTTATTTGCGGTTTTTATTCTTACGGATGTTCCTTTCTTAGACGCATCGAAGGATCTCCTAATTTCCGTCGTGTTCCATTAATGGTGCAGTTGAGCTCTGTTTCGACTCCCAATGGTGCTGCTATCGAAGGGAAGATGGTTTGTGGAAGGTATTTATAAGATTAATTCTAGTTTGTAGATGTGTTTGGCTCATCAATTTACAGCGGGATGCCAACCGTCCAGGGGTAAGCAATTCTCCTAGATTAAATACCAAGCAATGGTTTGCTGAGAACCGCCTTAGCTTGCGACGAGCATTAGAAAGGGTAAATGCAGACGCTTCGGGCAGCAATATGGTCTTCTGGACCTCACTTCGCGAGGCAAGTGGCATGGTCATATTACCACAATAGTACTGGTTGAACTCACTTGAGATGAATTACAGGAACCTGTATTATATGTAGCGGGTAGACCGCATGTTCTTCGGTTGATCGATAGACCGCTTGAAAATGTGGAGTACGTACCAGATTTCTAATTCTCGGAGATTGCTCAAATCCATCATTTTGAACCATAGGGCAACTGGAGTAACTACGCACACGGTTGAATCCATGGAGATTAACTTGAAACGGGATGTGATCCGTGAAGTTCGGCTGAACGACGGCCGGATTTTGCTGCATGATGAAGTTGAAGAACGGCCGGGCGTCTTCTCAATAATACCTCAATGGGAAAATGTCACTGAGGACGACATTCTTACTCCGCGAGACGTGTTTGATCTGATGGCGAAGGAGGGATACAAGGTACCTACCTACCCATTCAAATAAGTCTTTGCAACTGAGAAGGAGTGTTAACTTGTTTCTTGTGCTGTAGATCAATTACGACCGTATAGCCATTGTAAGCGCTTGGCAACTTTATACGACGCCATGTAATTAACATTTTCAAATTTAGACTGATGAGCAAGCACCGCTCCCAGATGCATTGTTCCAGCTATACGAGCGCGTACGTTCTGGACTTGAACAGAATATCGCGGGCGACTTTATCTTCAATTGCCAAATGGGCCGAGGTCGCACGACTACGGGCATGGTTTCAGCATGCCTAGTTGCGACTGTCTCAGCGTGGAACGGAACAACCGAGGAACTGACCATCTCAAATGAGGATGTCGACAGCGATGATCTGTATGATTCTCTTGATGGACCGAGCGAAGAAGAGGCCTATTTACAAGGTAAGAATCACAACTCAATTGTAACGACGTATGCGTTGTTTGCTAATATAGGCTTGATGTGCCACGAAGGGGAGTACAAGATCATTTTGCAGCTTGTTGGCGTTCTATCACACGGCAAGGCGGCGAAGGCGCTGACAGATCGTGCGATCGACCTGATGCAGGATGTACAGAATCTCAGGAGAGCGATCTATGAGTAAGGATCTGTTTTTCGTGCCAAGAGGTAAATATACGGTGATGGCGGTGCTAACGCGTTTCTTTTGCAGCTACAAACTGAAGATCGAGGCACTGCCCAAGGGAAGCGACAAGCAGAAGAAACTTATGAACCTCGGGGTCAATTACTTGTGAGTTTATTTTGCTGTCTCCTTTCCATCGCGCTTCGCTTATTTACTGTGGACCGACGTAACACGTCATACTATACGAAGATATCGGTGAGTCGAGGCCCTTTTCTCTTGGCTGTGGAACCTAAATTGAGCCTTGGAACGACAGATATGGGACGCTGATCGTGTTTGCGAATTATTTGATTGAACTAAAGGAGCTGACTGCGCAGGGAGACGCCAGCTCGATGGCATCATTTCCGGTTTGGTTGAAAGAGCGGAGAGAGATTACGACGATATTGGGAAGGCGGACCCTTGCGTAGACACATGTGCATTGTAGCATAGCTTAGAAGCAGCAGTGAGATCGAAATAATTCTTATATTGTATGCAGCATGAAATCGGAATAAAAAATGAGTTGAGAAATGAGCGGTAGTCAGGAGGCGTGGAGTGGCTGTGCTTCCACTGCCTCGTCTCTCTCACCTTTCTTTACGACCCCCAGTCTGACCCACTCAATCTCTCCGACACCTCTGTCTCCTGCCATTCTCCGTCTGCCTCCATCTCCACCCTTTTCTTTTCTTCTTATTCCTCATCGTCGACAGCGCGTGAAAAGCGAGTCCGCATCTCATGGGCCGCCTAACATCGCGATCGCGTGCCCTCATCGTCGTCCTCTGCCTTGCCCTATGTGTGTGTGGGCGTGCTGGCGCGAACCAAGTCCGCAGGGACAACAACGTGTTGGTCGACCGTCAACTCGTCCCTACGCTATCCGAAAATACACCACCAGCAAATACGAATACCAATACGAATAGCAATGCAAACACCAATACTAATACGGACACCAAGCAGACAGCGACCAATACAGCGACCAACACCAATACAAACACTAACACGGCCACAGCAACGCCGACGACTCCGACAAACACACAGACGACACCGACGAACACGAACACGAGCACACAGCCGACTACTCCCCCCACGACAACTCAGCAGCCTACCGACAGTGTTGTTGCTACCACTAATCAGGATGGCTCTGTGGTGATGACGACTGTTATAGTTACACCAAGTGCAGCGGATACAGCTTCGTCGTCTGCCTCTTCCCCCGCTCAAACGAGTGACAAGAGCAACGATAGTGGTAGTGGGTTCGGCACGGGATCGATTATCGGTGTCAGCGTTGCTGGTGGTATCGCAGTCATTGGTGTCGTTGCGTTCTTCATCTGGAAATTCACCAGGAAACGGTACAGCGACTTTGAAGATGGTATGTATTTCTCCTTTACTTTTTTCTCTCTTTTTTTTCCCGACTTCTCAGTGATGGTAATGATCCCAACTAACATTACACACGTCCTCCCCCAGAACCGATCAAATGGCCCGAACTAAACGCGCATAACGATAATCTCAACTACGCATTGCCCACCATTTCAACTCGCACAGGAACGAGTGCCGGTGCTGGCGCCGGCCTTGATTCCGCCTCGGAAGTCAACCTGGCACGGAACGCGTCGAATGCCGGCTATTCAGCGTATTCACAGCCATCACAATATTCACACCCTACTGCGGCTGACTCCACTGCGGATTTGTACGCGCCGGGCGGTGACCCATACGCGGTCCCACCACTCCCACATTTGAATCCGAATCAACCGTATCGCGACGATCCGTCGTTTGGTGGAGGAGGTGCTGCTGCTGCCGCTGGAGGTGCGGGGTATTATGATCCTTACCGAGGGCCTGTACCGCAGGCGTTTAACGATGCTGCGTCGGTGTCTACTGTAGGAGGTATGCATGGTGGTGAGGCGATTCCGATGAGTAACTTGGCTGCTGCTGGTGGACCTACGGGTCGACGATCACCTGGTCCGCAGATGGGACTTGATATGGGACGGATGTCGCCTCAGCCGGCTATGTCTGGTAGACAATCGCCTGGACCGAGCCTTGCGTATGGTGGGAGGACGACACCTGGACTTGGAGGTGCAATGAGTGGAAGGCATAGCCCAGGACCTGGTCAGGCGTACGGAGGTGGCTACTGAGCCTGAGTGTTGAGCTGAGCGTCTCTCGTTTCGTCTGGTTGCGAGTGAGAACGCGGACTCGTGTGCGTGTTTTGTGCAAGGATTTAGTGCATGTAGAAAGAGCGGTGTGCAATGCAACATAATATTTTTTCTTTTTTACCTTCCTAAATTTAATATTTGCTTGCACTCCTTGGTTACTGGTTGGACGTGTTCACTGTTGGGGGGTTATGACTGGTCATTTGTTTAGTTCCCAGTTCCCAGTTCCATCTATCCATGAATCGTCATCATCCGCTTTCACCATTGCTATCCGCTATGCGTGTTCACGGACTATACATATTACCTTGCGTCGTCGTCCGTCTGTTCGTTCACGCAAACAATCTTGATTTGTGTTATTTTTGACTTGTCTATTTCGTTTTGTTTCTATGTTTGTTTTCGTATGTATGTATGTGTTTTCTTCATTACTTCTCGCCAGACCAGAGACTTTCCTCTCTCCCTCCACACACACACACTCTACGCATGATCATTTCTTGTCTGTGTATACCCGCACGTCCCTCGTCCTGTTTACACAAACCCGTGAACCCTCATCCTCCACCTCTCCATCCTCAGCCAGCCTCAATTTGAGTCCCCCATGTTCGTTGTTGAAATTCTGTATTGTGGCTTTTATATGTTCCCGCCTTTTTTAATAGACGAGTCTCCTGCTTGTGAGTATTGATTGTTATTAATGTCGCGGGTGGAGGATGTAAAATTGTAAATAATATATTCTATTAAAAATTGAGAAAACGAGAAAATGGGGATGGGTACGGTAGGAAAGTTGGGAGGGGTTTAAAGATATATACTTACGTATATGGAATTTTGTTGTATTACAGTAATTGAGAACTCACGCACCAATTTTTTTTTAGCTATGCAAAGCTTAAGAGATGGTCCGCTAACGGCTTTATTCAAGGCTAGCTTGCCACCATTTCCCAGCCCAGTCATGCGCACGTCATATGTATGTGCCACTAGCACTAGACATGTCCTTCGTCTGCGACTTTGTGTCCCTTGGCCCTTCTGAATGATCTAGCATCATGACATCTTTCAAAGACTACCTTCGTGACAATGCTAAATTCTACTGTCCACCCGTCAAATGTCATCAGACGGCATTCACTGCCGTGACTGATGTTGAAGTTGAGCAAGTGTTTGCTCGCTGGGACTCGGACCATACAGTATTAGAAGCGCACCACGGTGCGCAGATGGTCGATGCTCTTATCAATGTTCTTAATGAGGAGCTTGGTGAGACTCTCGTCCCAGAAAGTATGAAGGGAAGATTCCAGCGACACTATGAGGATGATGCGCCCGGAACTTGTGTAATTAGGACCGAACCAGAGGTAAGCATTACTTCTTATAAAGCCACCTTCCACATTTTTTTTGACCAGTGGCTATGTAGATCGTGGACATATTGGTGTTCTCGAGGTAATCATGCATGAGATCTCTTGGCAATCCCGTTGACGTTGCCAATGAAACAGCAGCCCCGGAAACCAGGTCTAAGGTGCATTTTGTTTTGACCATGCTGAGGGGCAAGGAGGGTTTGGTTGAGATAAAGGCTCTACTTGTCTTCGACTCGGCTGCAGAAGAACTTTTTGAACTGCAAAATGGCGGAGATGATGGAGATGGTGAAGCTGGCTTCGAGGTACGGTTGGATTACGAAAGGCCCACGGGCCACGACAGGTATGAAAGCCATTATGAAGGTCTGTGTGATTGAAAGACATTTCGAAACTTTATTGATGAAGCGATTCTCTCAGGTGTGTGTGTACATGATCCTGTACGAAGTGGAGTGGCTTGTATCGTCGTGCTTCACAAAATGAGTGTTCTTCAGACTTCACAGTCGTGCTGTAGGCGAATTGCCATATGTACACAATAAAAGCAGTCGCAAAAGGCGAAACACTCGAAGAGCAGAGTTATACAATGTATATCGTCGTATCGAATAGACATCTCCAGTGCCTGTGAAGATTGTATCACAATGCTATGATCTTTTTAAGACAATCCTAACATGGGCGTTGGTTATGGATTATGAAGGCAATGTGCTTACACGTGATGGAGAGTCACTTATTGATCTGCACTATGCGGCTTCAATTTATTGAACGACGTTAAACGCAAGATCTGTTCAATGCAATATCGACGCTACACGGACTTGAAGTCTATCATGATGACTTTGAGTCTCGAGCATGTTGTTCGAGGCGACTTTGGTTCACTAAAGACCATTGGTTTTACGTCGTGCGAGTTACGTACATGTGTGCTGTCATCATGATATTAGTCTCTTTGTACTATTTTTTTTAATATATTGGCCAGCACTCACTACTGATAATGAACAGGGTTGCACAGAATTGTTCTTTGAGGTGAAAAGTTAGTCCAGAATATACGAGGAAAGAGTTTAATCTCTAGATAACCCCCTTGCCCGTTTGTCATTACTATACCATAGTGTTATGTAACAAAACTAGTCACTAAAGTCAATTCATTCAATTCTCCTCGTTTCTTGAGAGTGTCAACTCAGCCACAATACATAGTTGATTGCTCCAAGACAGTGTGTATGATTTGCCTGCACTGGAAGCCTGCTCATTGTTTCAAAGGAAACAGGAAAAAAAATAAGACAGGCTTAGAGATGCAAATTGAAAAGGGCCAGCAACGGCTACAGAAATACTCGACTTTGAAAGTCATGCAAGAGACACAGAAGAATTATAATCCCGACTAGCTCAAATGCTTTGAGAGAACACCAGAGTGCTACTGTTGTGGAAGTACAAGTCCGAAAGGAGCATTGCTCGACCATACGAATATCTATACATCCGGGGAATCATAACACTACACAAGCAAACAGTGCACCTGGTCGAATCTAAAGGGTTAGGGTAAACAAACTTACTCGCTTTGACTTGTGGAAATCTTATGCTTGGTACTCGAGCAGATACTTCGGGCAGCCGGAAAAGGTGAGCGTCCGTACATCAATATAGAAAATGTACCTGTTCCCAGTGCCATTGAATCACATGCAGCATTGTGCTGCAAATCTCGAATATAACATAGGAGATAGAACGCAGAGCAGCAGCACGTAGCAATTATAATTGACCACCAGCAAAGCTTTTCCAGGTGGAACAAAGTCATGTGCTCATCACATGACCGTGCCTTCGTTCTAATTTAGGGCTAAGCTACGATGAGCCACCTACTTTACTTCTTACCATTCACTGCACGCTCGTCTGAAGACCTGGCGCTATGGCACTTTTCAAAGACTACGTACGTGAACATGCTAAATTCTACTGTCCACCAGTCGACAGTCGCCAATCGGCATCCGGTGCCGTGACAGATGTTGAACTTCAGCAAGTGTTGTCTCGTTGGGAGTCGGATCAAACAATAATTGAAGCTCGCCGAGATGCACAGTTGGTCGATTCACTTATCAATGTTCTTGATGGGGTTCTTGGTGAAAATCCTGTCCCAGAAAGTATTGAGGGAAGATTCCAGCGACACTATGAGGATGACGTGCTGAGAAATCGTGTAATTAGGACTGAACCAGAGGTAAGCATCACTTCTTATGAAGCCACTTTCTACATCTTATTTTTTTAGGCCAGTGGCTATGTAGATCGTGGACCTATTAGTGTTCTCGAGAGAATCATGAGATCTCTTGGCAATCCCGTTGTCGTTGCCAATGAAACAGCGGTTCCGGAAACCAGGTCTAAGGTGGACTTCGTGTTAACCACGACGGGGGGCAAGAAGGGTTTGATTGAAATAAAGGCTCCACGTGTCTTTGACATGTCTGCAAGAGAAGTATTTGAACCGCCTAATGACAGAAATGGCGAAGATGGCGAAGTCGGCTTCGAGGTACGGTTGGATTCGGAAAGGCCCACGATAGGAATGAAAGTCATAATGAAGGTCTGTGTGATTAAAGGGCATTCCGAAACTTTATTGATGATACAAATCTCTCAGGCGTGTGTGTACATGATCCTGTACGAAGTAGAGTGGCTTGTGTTGTCGTGCTTCACAAGATGGGTGTTCCTCCGACTCCACCGACGTGCAGGGGAAGTGCCATATATCACTTATTCGACTATCGAAGAACAATTAAACAATACCAGGCCGTTCCGTGCATTGGTTGGGATGATGCTGGCTATTGCAGAGGAAATTGATGTTCCCTCCAACGCCGACATGGGCGGGCAGCTTCGGCCAGCTCCAGTACAAGGAACTGAGGGACAGTCTGATGGATCCGAACCGCCAGAACAGCACGATCCATCTTTTAAAGGTCGAGGCCAAGTGACAAGGGCTGAGCCACCAGAAACTCGATCTCGTAGTAGGGGTGGCAATTCATTAGCTTTGTCTCCTGGCTTCCTTGTGAGTATTTTTTTTCCAATTCGTTATTTCATCGATTGAACTATTCTCAGATCACGTGGTCACCAAAAACCATGTCGAATAAGAAGTGGCTTGAATTTCATGCTGTGGACACCAATGCATTCCCGCCTTTGGACAAGGGCACTATTCGACTCCATGTCCAGCGTGGCATTGGATATGGGTCAACCGGGACTGTTTTCGAGGCGATTCCTGATGGCGACAAACCCAACGGAGCTTTAGAATCTCGCAGATATGCAATAAAAACGGTCGGGAAGGGTGAGACGGACAAAGAGAAGGGTTGTGCTCGACGTCTGCTCAACGAACTCGCCATATATCGCCACATCGGTAAGACATCCTTGGTGTCTATGACGATTGTACCGCAGTGTTATGGACTTTTCGAAACAAGGCGAACACTGGCATTGGTGATGGATTATGAAGGAGATGTGCTCAGCCGTGATGAAAATTGGCCAGAACTGACGCGCGATGAGAGGTGAGTATAGTAGATTAGGATTTGTTCAAACCTTATTAACAACATTGTAGGCGTGGACTGTACGAAGCAATATTGGCACTTCACAAACTTGGCGTTTGTCATGGCGACTTGGAACCGCGAAACATTGTCCGTGACAGCAACGGCTCGTTCAAAATCATTGACTTCACATCGAGCACGTTACATACTTGTAGCCAGCGTAACGTCAGTTTATTTATGATATTTCCTATAGCGTCCATTGCTCACTATTGTTAATGCACAGGGTTGCACAGAGTTGGCTCGAGTAAGAAGGCAGCTTAGACTGTATGATGAAAGGGTCCAACTTCCAGAAAGGCGTTTTGCTCGTTCGTCTTCACCTTTCCATAATGTTATGTAATGAACCAGTCAATATATTCAATTCTTTTCTTTTCAAATTTTCTTTTCGCCCTTTCCTGATGGTATCAACTTCGGTACAATAGATATTCTGTTTCTCTATTGGAGCAATTAGAGAGTCTAGAACATACAAAGCCAGTATTTTGAAGTTTGCATAGTATTAACCCTCGATGCACTTAACTATTCTCTGTATGCAAGGAAAGTCACGGACATAATGAAATGGCTCTGGTATAAGGTATCTATGTCCCTTGCCTACCATACATTCCTACCATGCCATGCTCTCCGCTTCGCATCTTCTGCGCAAGTGCATAAAAGAAGGTTCTTTCTCTAATAACATGGTAGGAAATCACGTGAGACATAATTTATGTTCATCACCAAAACGTGCAGAGTCTGACAAGGCAATATATTTACATGTAGACTTTATAAGCAAATACAAGGATCCACAATATGTAAAAAATATATGTCTTAGCAGTAAATTCCAATACATTTTCGTGTTCGATTTGGTGATGTTGCTGCATACTGTGTCATTGCAATTTGTATCCACCATTGCTGCAAGCCTTTTGTTCCAACTATAGTTGCCGTTGTCCGGTCCAGGACCGCTGTGGACCGGGTCCGGTCCGATTGAGGTCCGGTCCAGTTGGGTCCAACAGGGGTCCAGTCCACGGTCCAGCGTTTGACAAAAATTTCCGGACCGCTTTGGACCGCCTGGACCCTGGACCGGACTGTGGACCGTTTATATTGTAGATACTACTTCTTTAAGGCATACAAATGGACTGTACAGAGCCTAATAGATGTGAACTACTCTTACATATATTGTATAGTGTATTGTATACCCTTTAAGCATACAAATAGACTATACTGTGTCTTACAGATGTAAACGGCAGTTTGCATTGACCGTGGGAACTGATTTCTATTACACTAGTACTTCTTGTGTTTTACACTTAGTATAATACAAATAATAAAAGTAATTGTATTCTGATACATATAAGCTTACATATATTCAGAAACATATTATTATAGTACTTAATAGTATATCTATCTCCACAAGAGGTCCAGCTGGGTCCGGTCCGAGGTCCAGGATTTCATAAGAAATCGGTCCTGGTCCGGTTCACAGTCCAGCAAAAACCTGTCTGGACCGGACCTGGACCGGACCGCGGCAACTATAGTTCCAACGCTATGACACTCTTAGAAGCTTACCTTCATGAACATGCTGAAATTGTATGCAATAATGCATAAAGTGCATAATGCATTGGATTCAGTCTTCTCCCGATGTTATGCGGTAAAACATATTCTACTGTATTTACCATTAGATGATGAGAAGGTGTTTTGATATCACGTGCTTGTCGATCACCGTCGATCCTCGAACTGAGTTAGTCGTGTACCACATTTAGAATTACAATTGCAAGGCTTTGCCTCCGCCTGCATTTGTCAAGCAAAGCCAATGTACAGTCATGCGAGTAGCTCACGTCTGCCAATCCCCGCTGGTCCAACAGAGTTTGACATCCTTAAGGCGTCTCATAAGTATGTCTCCTCCCCTATCCTTCCTCTCACAAATTCATCAATTCAAAACGTGTTCAGAATAACGGACTGATTGACCTGCTTGTGCTTGTGTATTCCTGTCTTCCTGTCCTTTTGTTCTCTAGGTTCCTCCGCGAAGACGACGCAGATAACACAAACGGCAAGGAAAACGAAAATAGGAAGAATTCGTGGGAAGATCGTCTAGCACAAAAGTACTACGCGAGTCTTTATCGTGAGTTTGCAGTGTGTGATTTGAAGCATTATAAATCTGGGAACGTAAGTTCCTCTTCCTCTTTCTCTTCCCCGTCCAACTTCTCTTGCTTACCTTCGCGTATTTTTATGGACACTTTTCTTTGTATGTAGTTCGCATTACGCTGGCGAACAGAAGACGAAGTCGTATCAGGTGCAGGTGAAGAGACCTGCGGGAATACACGGTGTCCCTTACACGCTCCTCTTTCCTCCCTTCCTTCCTCCCCATTAGGACTGAAGACGGTGGAATTGCCATTTGCGTATGCAGAACATGGAGAACAAAAGCAGGCACTTGTGAAAGTCGTATTGTGCGAGACGTGTTTGAGGAAGCTTATGTGGAAGCGGGAAAAGGAGAAGGAGAAAGGGAAGAGGAGGATGTTAGAAGATGGAAGGACCGGGTCTGGGAATAGGAGTGGCGAAGATCTTACTACCACCAGGAGTGATGAGTTGGTGAGGAAGGAGCGTGGTGTGGATGTAACACGAGAAAGTGGAATGGAAGAGAAGGAAAGGGAAGACCGCGAGCGAAGGCGTAAATCTCGAAATGGTGATGGAGACGAGCATGAGCATGACAGACGAAGAAAACGTGCGGAAGAGGAGAGTAGGAAACGTGATAGGTTGCGATCTCGTTCACCTTCTCATAGACGACATCGAGGGCATAGAGACGGTGATGGACGTCGACAACACGAGCGATTACCGCCAACTTGATAACCACGAATCGCATTATTATTCCTCATCTACTCTACCAACAAATACCAATGTACTCTGTTGTCCAAGTCCTTGCATTCACTTCGTCTCACCACTCTTCGCATTCCCCGGCGCCGGCATAACGAACGGCCATACCTCCTCCCTTTCCTTCTCCCCAGCTTCCCGTGCACCAGTTCCAGTCACACCTAGTACCTTATACTGCACGCCCATTCCCGTCGGGTCGATCAACCGCTTTGCAGCACGCACGATCTCCTCCTTCCCTTCTTTGTCTGTACCGGCCTTGGAAGCGGAAAGTCGTAAGACGCGTGCGTCGATGCCCATGTTTATGAGGAAGTCGCGTTGAGTGAGTGGGCCGTAAGAGTTTGCTGCGGGAAGGAACGGGAGTTAGATTAGTTTACGAGCATGCACGACGTTGGAAAGGGAAGAGATTGAGAATAGAGGATAGCATTGGTCTTACCTGTGCTGGAGATAGCTTCTTTGAGAAGTGCGAAATCGACATTTGCGGTGAGGTCGCACTCGCCAGGCGTCTCGAAAATGTCAACGATCTTGTGCTTTTTGAATGCCTGAGAAAACAATTTTTTCCCGGAATGCCATTGTTAGTCGTTAGTTAGTTGTTCAGGATGGTGAACCCAAGTCAAGTAAGAACTCACGCGTAGGGACTTTCCTGACGCAACATCACGTCCATAATCAATTATCAACGCACTTCCACCAGCGCCCTGGGGATCATTCACAAGCTCGGCAAGTGTACGCGCGAGTTTGAAATTCGTTGGTGACACCTCGAGTCGAGCTCCGTTGGGTACGGATGTATATCGCGGAGAGAGGGAGCCGAGGAAGGATGAGAGGGTCGTTGACTCTGGATTGCGTACGAGACGGAGAGGTGGGAGATTTGACTCTGACTCTGACTCTGACTCGGTTTGCGGCGTTGATTGAGGGGAGGATGTAGAGGATGAGGTAAGGAGTGTTTTAGCGGTTGAGTCGGGTGAGGTGGTGATTTGTATTTCGTGCCATCCGTCTTTCGTTCTCTGTACGCATGATTATACAAAGTGAATAGATTTAACAGGAGAATGGACGAAAAAAAATGAGGGACTAACCTCTAAGATGTGCACGGGCAATGCATCGAAGAACTCATGCGCAACGACCACAGTGAACGTATCCTTATCAACACCCGGCTGAGAAGCACGTACGTCCTCCAACGCACCATGCCACCTCACAAACCCACCATTCTCATTCCCATTCGAGTTCTCAAACTGCCCAAGTACGCCTGAACGTTTCAACGTCTCGCCTTGCAACCTCCGCATCGCATCACTCGTCTCAACAAGATGCAGCGTACCTCCATTCTTCAAGGCCGCACGCGCCGCAGGGAACTGGGCCCATGTACGAAGCGCGTCAGCGGCAAGCGTTCCGCGTCCTGGTCCAAGTTCGATTATCCGGATACGTGGTGGTTGGCCCGCTGCTAGCCAACGTGATAAATGCCAGATTGCGATGAGCTGGGCTGCGGCATGTCATCTTTCTGTTCTCTTTTTCCTTGTAAGGATGAGTTAGACGAACCTCGCCGAATACTTGACTGATTTCAGGACTTGTGATGAAGTCGCCTGCTTTGCCAAAGACGGGATTGTCTGGGTTCATGTAGTATCCATGCGTTGGATGAGAAAGGCAGAACTGCATGTACGTCGATACGGACATTGGTCCTGTTGCCTATATTATTACGATTATTTTCCCTCCATAGTTAGAAACTTATGTTTTGTGTAAATTTATGTGTTTATATGCAATCCGGACCTTTATTGAATCCCGCACGAGTTTTTCAACCTGTGTCATACGTGGTGCAGTGTTCGTAGTGACATTTCGTCGAACATGAATTTGCGACGTCGCCGTACGCGATTTACATGCGATACGGAACCGCAGATGCATCGGATTGTGTCGACGAAGATGCAGAAGGATCATTTGCAGCAAAGGAGTGACTCGAGTGGTGATGAAGGAGGCGGAAGAAAACAGCGGCTCGGTACCGCGATGCTGTGTAAAACTTCAATTTATAGACTTTCATCTTTTTGAATCTTTCTCTCATCCTCGTCCTCGTCCTCATCCTCGCCCCTCAAACCCATTCAATACCCCAAACTCAAAGGAAAAGAAACTCAAGCCAAAAGAGAATATCTTAATTCACCCTCTGACCATGGCTACCCGTACGTATTCCACTTCTCCATCTTTCTGATCCCGAATTCAAACCACACGAGCATACAGGCACTCAATTCGAGAACAGCAGCGACATCGGCGTCTTCGCCAAACTCACAAACTCATACGCGCTCGTCGCGATTCAGGGGAGTACCAACTTCTACAGCACGTTCGAAGCAGAGCTCGCAGACGTCATCCCCATCGTACACACCTCCATCGGTGGTACACGCATCATCGGTCGCCTAACAGCAGGCAACCGTCATGGTCTGCTCGTCCCCGCAACAGCGACAGACCAAGAACTCCAACATCTTCGTAATTCACTCCCTGACGCAGTTGCAATTCAACGAGTGGAGGAACGACTGAGTGCGTTAGGAAACGTCGTCGCGTGCAATGATTATGTTGCGCTCGTACATCCTGATGTAGATCGCGAAACGGAAGAAATCATTGCGGATGTCCTTAAAGTCGAGGTTTTCCGTCAGACGATCGCGGATAACGTACTCGTTGGTTCGTATAGTGTGCTTTCGAATCAGGGAGCTCTCGTACACCCCAAGACAAGCATACAAGACCAAGACGAACTTAGTAGTTTGCTACAAGTGCCGTTGGTGGTGCGTTTATTTCATCCTCAGTTTTCGCTTCTTCTTGATTTGAGAGTTCTCAATTTTATTCATTCGTAGGCTGGTACGGTAAACCGCGGTTCAGACGTGATCGGTGCTGGACTGGTCGTTAATGATTGGTGTGCATTTACCGGACTCGATACCACCGCAACAGAAATCAGTGTCATCGAAGCGGCATTCAGTGCGTCTTTTCTTTCTTATTTTCCTTTCCTCCAACGTTATATACCCGCATCTTTCACTGGCTTGTATCTCCTTATTTCATAACCCTCCGATTACTTCACGATCCTTTCCCGCTCTTCAACTCTTATGACTATCCAATAAGACATGATGATATTGACTTCGAATACTCTTAGAATTACAAGGACACGACTCATCAGCTGTTATCGGCGAGATGCGTGACTCGCTCATCGACAATTGGGCATAGCGTTTCTTAGGGACGTGGAAATTAAAGGACTACCAGTGTACGAGTATTGTCGATCGATTCTCCTTATTGCAATGGATAGAGCTGCTTTCCTACTCTTTTTTTCTTTCTTCGTCGCGTACCTTTGAGCGTACTGCCACCAAGACGGGGTACTTTCCCGGATACTTGGCTCCCAAGGTTTAACGAATACACCGAAATCCGCCATTCACATGGATGAAATCAATAATCTTTCCCTAAATTATTATACAGCAATCGGATACTGAAACTAAGAGGCTTGTAATAATTTATCAACCTCCTCGGACATGATATCTAAGGCCTTCTTTACTGTTATTCCGACTTCCTTTCTCAGTGTCTCGCCATCCTCTAGTCTTGTCAGTTCGATATCAACGAGGTGTCGGTTCTCCTTGTCTTCTTCTGGATAATTTATCTTCAGATTAATCCCTTCATTCAAGAATACTAGGGAAAGGTTGACGTGTGCGGATGAGAGTATCAAAGGGAAGCAGTTATTTAGTAGTCTTATGATGATGGAGATTTTTTGGAAAATTTGGAAAGTAACGTACCAGGTGCGAATTCTCGTAAGGTTTGGTGAGATGCCACTAGCTCCAGCGTAGGATCTCGCCTCCTCCGAATCGGTCGATTGTTATTAAGCGACATTGTTAATTACTTCTGCCGAACTACTTGCTGTATTGTAGGACTGGAGAACAAGAATAGCACGATTACACACTGCACATTGAATGTGCAAGGTGAGTTGTCTATGTTATTCAAGGGGTTACTTTGCATAGATCAGGAAGTCATGATGTATCATCAATTCCCTGATGGACAGACAGTAATGCAATATTAAAACATATGTGCCAAGGCGGAATGTGCGACGTCGGATGGCCTTTTGGAGTATGTGGCACAGTGCATGATCATTATCATTCTGGTAAATTTGCAAGCTTCTGGCAACAGCCTGTACAGGTACTGCAGGCTGTGTGCAGGTCTCCAGTTAGTTTGACATTGATCAACTTCGGCCTTTCCTCCTCTCATTATCTATGATATCTTTTCCAGGATAAAACTGCATCTCTGACATACCTCAGGGAGAAATAGAGAGTAGTATGCAACGAACATTTAACCAAAACAGATGTATCACATATTATCACTCTTATGAGAGCTACTAATATTAGCAAGTTTCACACATTAATGTTCCTCTATTTAATCATCAATTCATTAATCATCTAGTTGGGTTAAAGTCTACGATTCAACTATTTCTGATTCCGACCCTCAGCAAGCAGGTATGCATCAAACAGACGTGTCAGATCTACATAGAAATCGAGATAGCTTTTCGATTCTCCAACATAAGTGACGCCACCATAATCAAATTGGTAGCTGACCTGCTGGTTGGCTTCGTCAACCGTGAATCGTTTATTAGTAATTTCCTCAATTTTTCTCTGACCTGTTATTCATGAAGCAGTTTGCTTACAGAGTAGAGTTACAAGCTAAACACTGTACTTACCAGTAGCTGTCAACCTGCTAACACTTGCTCTAAATGCCTCTTTTTGTGTAGGGCTTGCTACCTTTCCTGCTGCCCCTAAGACATCCCACAATTGGCTGCTTGACATTCTGTGAAGAGTACTTTAGTAATATGTTCCGTGTAACTTGAATGAAGATGTAATACCATTCATTTCATCCCTGCTTATATACCTAACTTTGTATGGAAGAAATGCTCAATGATTCTCAGGGGTAATAATCAAGTTTAATTAAAAACATATGAACTTCATTATCTCTCAATCAGTGGATCAAAATTTTAGTGTGTAATTTGCTCTCCTATACAGTGAGGAGCAGTGTTTCACAAGCACTTTGCAATCATTTGTTGATTCCATTACAAGCAGAACCTGTTTCAGAATCTAACATTAAGTAATATGAATGTCTTTGTCAAAGACAAATATATTATAGTTAGTGCCCCTCTCCCTAAGTGTTCCTCCATATAGAAAGGTATACTAGCTGCAACCAATAGAAAATGTAGCACAATACTAATATAGTAATTAGATTTATTTCTGTTATTTTTTATTTTGTTTTACTTTTACTAGTATATGAAATTCATGAATGTGATTTGACAGATTTCCTAATATAACATCAGAGTAAAACATGTAATATAACAATGTTACAAACTTAGATAAGATGTTATAGATTCCTAATGTATAACTTTACAAAAACACATTTTTTAGACTAGAAACCTAACAAATAAATAATATTGTACTATATTATATTACTCTTTGTCTACAATAACCTTGTACCTTTTATTCCTAAATGTTTATATTAGGTGTTAAGTATTAACAGTAGAGAAACACACTCTATCTTCTTCAAAAGTTTATAGTATGTATACTAACCATTTTACAGTAAAACTATTACAAAAATAGTCTTACACATATTTGTAAAGACAGAACAGAGAGAGATTAAGTAGTAAAAGTAACAGTTACAATAATATTAACATTTCTTGTAGAAAAAGAATTGTAGCAAGTATTAAAACATTAAGTCATTTTATAAATCAGTAAAGGAATATCTTTTATTATACTGTACTAAGATTACTCATAACAAGAAACACAGTAGAGATTAATTATAATAAGTAGTGAGAGGTATTTAGATACATTAATATATACTATATAAAGTAACTTCTCTCTATACTTATTAAATAGCTTCTCTTTTTATAATTGTTTTATACTCTGTACTTCTTTAAATATAGCTTTCTTAGTATTATCTTTAGTACTTTTGTTTACACTATTATTAATAGTAGAAAGTTTAGTAAAGTACACAGTTCTTCTGTGTACTATTTACAATCTCAGAATTCAAATCTTACCTGTAGTTAATATAAGATACATATACACACTCTTAAACAGGTTATAAGCTTTACTTATAGTATTTCTCTCCTTAGATTCAACACATGTTATTCAAATTCCACAACTATTAATTTTTAAGTATCTCTAGATTAAGTATTATCCTACTAAATAAATAACAAGGCTTTAAAGATTGTATACATATCTGAATTCACAGAACAGAAGCACTTCTTAGATAGTTATACTTAATTACTAAATATTGTAGTGTTAGAAAAGAAAGTAGTCTACATTTAAAACTTTATAATCAAAATGATTACTGTTATTTTCATAAATACAGTAGAATATGTTATAATGTATATTGCTAGGAAGGGTCATTTCTGTATTCATTATGAGATTTATGTATTATGACATTACATTTTTGCAGAGAATGACTATTTGGTTTTGAGAAAAAGTCATTCATTATAACATTTATACAATACTATATTATACATTATAACATATTTGACTGTATAGTAAGTAATACAGAATGTAGAATAAGTAGGATACAAGTATAAGACTACTACTAGTATTAGTAGTAGGGCAAGTATGTGTTACTATTTTCAAGTGCTTATTTAGTCTAGGATACTTATAAAACAATCCATATATGTTTGAAGAAATAAAATTATATAGTACAACTGTTCAAGTATTTAATTTTTATACAAGTCTACATATTAATGGACAAATTCCCTTACAACTCTTTAACTAGACTTTGTCTATCCCTCTGTCCTAACAAGGAATAGAAATTTAGAGTACTATACTTATACTAACAGTTCTACAGAGTAATCACTCAGGATATTGTAACAAAGAGAAGTATGACATTGACATTTAATATTCTCTCTTTACATACTTTACAACTTTATTGTTTAATTATTTTGCCTAAGCAGAAACAATTCTGTCCTTAAAACAGAGTTAACTACAACTTCCTCTGCCCTCAGCAAGCAAATAAGCATCCATCAACCTTATTACATCTTTATGAGTAGCATTAATACTTTTCTTGTCTCCTCTGTATGTAACATTGTCATATTCAATTGTATAGGTGACACTGGCAGGTTGGTTGCTTTTGTCAATATCAAATTGTGAGATCTTGAGGTTGCCAAAACCTAACATATATAGAGTAAGTTTAGTGAGCTGTAGTGGATTTTTTAATTGTCAAATCCTGTACATACTAATGTTCTTCATCCTTTCTATTCTTTTGTGATAGTCTGTTTTCTCTTGAGCAGTTCTGTGTGACTCACCATACTATACAACTTCCAACAAGTTCTGTTCCATTGTTATCTCATAGATAAAAGATACTACTTGCAAAGGTGCTCTGTGTAGTGAAGATGAAAAAATCGTATCAACATTGTCCACCTTAAATATTTTACTTTGCATAGTCTTAATACTCTGGTGAATAAATCCTGAATGTACAACTGTCAAGGACTTTCTAATTATACTCTACTGTACAGGGAATAAATACTACTGTTATTGGTTCTCAGAGTAATAGTCAGATAGTCTATCATTAGCATGAAACCTAATCTCTCATCCAGAAATAATCTGTGGAGTTGATACCACATGATTACAATGTACTGCTGAAACATTAATAGTTAGGAAAGAAAATTGCATACTACATATTGATTTTTAGATAAGATTTTATTTCTGGATGAGAGACTAGGTTTCATGCTAATGATAGACTATCTGACTATTACTCTGAGAACCAATAACAGCAGTATTTATTCTCTATACAGTAGAGTATATATAGAAATATGCTGTTGAATGTAGTAGAGACAAGTATAAGTCTGCTACTGTATAATGTGTATACGTTTTGCGGATGGAAAGAGCATTTCTGTCGGACGTCTCGAGCTTCGGAGGTTCCGGACTTTTATTGAGAAGTTCGTGGAGGCGGTTCCTCGGACGTATTCAAAGGAACAAGGAAATTGGAGGTTATGACCGAGACGCGGACTAGCGAAGCGGATTGGCCGTATCTATGTCTTTCTCAGTGAGAACGTTCCTCATAGAGTAATCATTAAAAGCCAAGATGTACTTTCCCCTTCTCTTGGATTGAGTACTTGCGCAGCCCCTGTATCCTCGTCGGAAGAAGCAGCGAAAGCTGCAGGCTCCCCCATACCTGTACCTCAGCCCATTTTATCCGAATCTCAGCTAGCTTCATGGAGAGAATTCACAACATTGAAATAGAGTCAACGTACCGAGCGAATTCTGAACGAGTTGCTTATTCTACACCATTGGCTGAGTTGATTCATTCTGGGGCAATAAGGGAGCTTACGCCTAAACCAAGATTTTATTAGATTTGAGTTGTAGTCCCTTAGATTGAATTGCCTTACAACAGAAGACTGTACTAGGATAAGGGCAAGATGTAGTAATACAGCGCATAAACCTTTGAATGTT